ATAAGAAAACTAGATGAACGTTCCCAAATTGTGCCTTTGTCTTTTTATTGTTGCAAGAGTAGTAGTTGATGAGGTCGAGTTCAGATTTTACATATGATATTGTCTTCTTGTTCTGGCTGCAAACAATTTTGTGGTTATCTTTTTTGTCAGAAAACTCGATGATTTAACATTGTTTTATATTATACATTTCAAGAATTAGTTCAAGATTTCTTAAGTTTTGAACTTTAAAAAAGTTTTTTTTTGTGATCAAGACAATGCGTTAATGCCTCCTACAGGTAGTCATGAAAAGAAAAGTCTTTCATTGTCAACCGATAATGTTGATCAGCCAAATAAGCATATCTACTACACGTTTAGCCAAGTGAAATTTGTACATTGTTTCATTGAATAATGGGTGTAAGACTTGTAGGAAATCTGGCATAAGTTGTCTGATGACGGTTTGTCTATATCTCCAAGTCAATGGCTTTTTTTCACCATGCACATCTATTCTTGTCAAATAATGAACTAAAGAAGGATTCGACATGTGGATGCAATGAAGACCTCAAACATGAGTTTATGTATTCTCTTTTTTTTCAACTTATTACAACATTGAGAGTAGGTCTTCAACATTGACAGAAAGTAACATATCAAAGTCTCCTACTTAAGCTATACGGTTCATTCTATGATGAACCTCCTTCGTTTAAAGTAGTGTTTGGTTGAACTCAATCTCAAGATCTGCTGTTGTCGTAAAAACAATAAAATATCTAGGATTATGAAAGTTTGATGTACCATTGATGTGAACGGAAAGTTTTGTTGTTCAAATATATTTGAACAACTTGTAGTCTCTAGATCTAGGCAAAAATAAGACTTCAATACAAATGTCAATCTCTATGTATCTCATGATTCTGGTACCACAAATTGACGTTCATACGTGTACGACAAGAAGACACCAAGTTTGTAAAATGAATGTCATCTTGTTATTAGATCAGTCATATCATGCTATTCTATCATAGTGGAACACCTTCCATACGTATTATATTAAAAACCCTTATAAATATATGCGTACTTTCTTTAGTTGCAACAAATATTCTACTTTGATTTCAAGATTTGTCCTCGGCTTTCTGACAAAAAATGACTGTATGAGCAAGTTTTTTTTGGTCAAAGAAATAGCCTAGAATAATCAGCTTGTAAGTTACTCTTGTGATTCTTCCAAGTGTGCAAATATGAGATTTACTCAAACCTTCAACAAACGTAGATTTGAGCTATTTTTTATTTATGTCATTTGGATACTTCTAGAGATTTTCTTCCTCACAACAATGCAGGTTCTGAATTTGATGAATTCTCTAATTATTGCTTTAAGCCTGACTCTGTACCACACTATCATGTGAATTCTAGAAAATAAAATCTTCATTTGCTTTTGCATCGCACTGCATTGGAGGAGAGTGATTTCATTACTAGTGTCTAGGACCGAGCTATAAAACTTGTTTTAAGTAGCAATAGTAAACATCTTATAAAACAGCACAAGTCAAGGATCTTTTCGACACTCCTCCATAGCAATATACAAAGCCAATGTCACGCTCAAAGTTCATAAAATTGCATACAAATGACATGTATCATGTAATTGATGGGCTTAGTACATTCACAAAGTTGTACAAGTAAAAAAATTGAAAGTTATGAGGCACGTGAGTGTACATCATATTTTGCACCTTGTGTTCATTTACACTTTTATGTGAAATGTGAATCTGTATATTTCTCATTAATTAAATCAATGTTTTCACAATACTTCTTTGTTTTCTTCAATTGTTACTAGAGTAGTTTTGTCACCAACTTGGTGACAATTGAGTTCAAGTTGAGATTTTGCATATGATGTTGTTTTCTCCAAATTCATGAAAACTCAATTATGTCTTCATGGATTTTTTTAGTTTTATCCAAAAAAAAAAGTATACATAGTATAATTTTTGTGACATTTGATCGTATATCGCATGAAATAGTTTTTTTGAAAATTAATTCATTTTATGCTTATTATTTCATATTGATGTTTATTTTTTAGTCATGTTAGTAACACAATTAAAAATCACGTTTAGACAAACAAGTATTTAAAAATTAATAGTAATGACTTCTTTGTAAAGAAAGTCATCCCCACTTTGAAAGTACAATCATTTCTAGTCCATCAGATTGGAGATAAGCAATTATCATTTGAAATTGCACAATAAGTTGGATATAAAAAAATTTGGTGGATTTGGTGAATCTATAATAAGAAAAAAAATGAAGCTATAAATCTCTTATACATTGTTTGAAATGCAAAAAAAAACAGAATATATTTGATTTCATATTTAACTAAGTAATGCTGCTTACATATTTGAATATATTTTCTTGCTGATTATTTCATTTCCAATGTCAACTCTATAGGTTGATAATCATGATGAGTAGCATGATAAGTCTTATCATTTTCTGCAAATCACATATCTTTGATAAAAATTGCTATTTTTAATGTAAAATATTTTATATATGAAATGTGCATCTCACAATCATTTTATTTTAATGATCATTTAGTAAGCTATTAGTACTGCGAAAGTAGACGTACTATTTTCTGAGCATTTGTTTTGGTTGATAGCATACTATATGAAACATTCTCTGTAACTTTTTTTCTTCACTTTATTCAAGAATAATCACACAAAAGGCTCGGAAACTAATGAAACTTGTTACGTGGAATGCTTGATACTTGACTTCAATTTCAAATTTAGCATTTTGGCTGGTTGTGTATATAACAATAAGTTGTTCATGGATTTACTTGAGCCAATAAATGAAGTTCGGACAGAGATGCTGATTTCTTGGGCAAAGCTTTTGCCAATCAGAAAACCATCCGTTGGATGAACAATATGCAGATGTACAGTGCATTCAACATGGAGTAACTCAAAAAGGTTTGTCCCCTGTTCTGGAAATGGTTTATTTCTGTTTGATTTTCTTTGAAGCAGGATTTAATGTGTGCCATACGTGAGGTTCGGAGCCTTGAAAGAAGGGTTCCATGTGGATTTACTCGGAACCCTCGTAGGCTAGCTTATGATGTTATGTTGGCTTCATACATTTTGTATCATGTAGGACGAGCCGTTCTTTTATCTCCTTGTGTGCAACTTATAAGGTCTTACTTGTTCCAACTTTACAATAAAGATAAATCTGAAGAAGAAGAGCGTGCAAAAGTACTTTCCTGCAAAAGTACATGTGTTGCCACGTGAGATTCATAGATGGAAAAGCGATTAGTACATACAGTACCGCAAATCATGTTCTGCCCACGGGAGCAGTACAGAGGAAGCATGGTTGTCCCTCAGCGTAAAACACATAAGGATAAGATTTCCTTTTGTGTTTTACGCTGATTTCTGATACAGTGATACCTTAAGGAAAAATCAATGATTGAAGCGGTCGTTACAAAAATGAAACATTTTCCAAGGGAGTTAACATTTAGAAACTGCGCATGCATTGAGTACTGCATCATCTTTCGCATAACGTTTAATAAAAGGTCATTTTCCTTGTTCCATGGCCCCCTAACGTGGCTGTAGAAATCTTCCGATTAGTTACAATTCATAGAAGACAAATGTGAGCTTATTAGCAGCACTGCAGCTTCGAGGTTCAAATGTTTGTCTTCTCTTCTTTGGATTGAATAACAAACGTGCGTGAGTCACAAAGACAAGGCAACTTCTACATTAAATGTCCATAGAACAACATTTCTAGTGATAAACATATGAGAATAAAACGAGATGTAAATTTATTTATCAAAATCATCGTTGCAAGTATCGAATGATTTGTTAACATGATTCTGAATTATATACAGTACATCGCATATGCTCTGTTACACATCAAATAAGACATATTCAAACTATAAAGCTTCTTAGGTACCTAGCTACTAAGATTCTTGAGATTATGCTTACGTGCATTAAGAGAAAATCTATTACACTTCCTATGAAACTTTTAAACCTTATGAGAACTACTAAAACGTAAGATTTTTGAATTTATGTTAACAAGTTTACGAAAAAATCAACAACGTTTTCTAAAAAATTTTTGGAGCATGCAAAGCCTTTCAAATATCAAACTTCAAAGAATGTAGAATTACTGAAAGTATGATTACATCGCATCAATCGGACAAGTTTAATTCATTGAATACTGAAAAATGTCTTGCTTCAAATTCATTAAAACCAATAATCTTTCAATAATATTTCATGGCAAATGATTTTCTTATGTTCACAAAAGTTATTACATTAGACGATATGATACATGACTCTCTCTAATAGTCTTGTATAAATAATGTTACACAATATATTCCTATTGTAGTATGTAGAATACTCTCATCGCTATATCAAAGAGATGAAGTATGATTATCGATACCGCATCATATAATCTTATTGTCTGCATCAGTTAACTCAGTTTTTTTTAGAATCTAAGCATTGTTTGCTATGCTCGTTGGATCATTCTTATGCTGTTTGTATACTGTCATCTCTTCAATAAAGAATACAGGACAGTAATCTGCATTCTTTATTGAGAGGAGTAATATGAGATTACTCCTTTCCAAAACTTTTCGGGTTCGAGGTGATTTCCCCTCGGCATTGGGCGGTCTTCTACGGTGGCCCGCACGTATCTTCCAACACGGTGACCTCTCTTCTCTCGTCGGACTAAGGAAGTATGACTTTAGCGCGATGCGAGGACATTCGCGCACTCTGCCTGCCATCGTGTTCAGATTTCCTGCTGCACGAGATAAATTTAGCCGGGAGGGGCACGCAGGCCCCACCGAATTGCTATGCTCGGGGGATGATGATGATACGAAGTTCGGCCCCGGATGGACAGACAGCAGAATGGCTCGGTCGCAGACGGATCGAGGACTGACGGCGAACGGCCATCCATCCGGCCGGGAAGTCTAAACCGCCGGAAGTCCCGAGAATACGCCGAATTCCTCTCCGACTGCTGCTGCGAGAGAGAGGGAGACAGAGACAGAGACACTCTGCGAGGTGAGAGGGGGGAGTGGGGGCGGGGCGTGCGTTGTTGTCTCCACGAAAGCCAGCGAAGCGCAGAGTTTCACAGCAGCTGACGACGAAGAGGAATCCATTCGAGTACGTGCTCCGGCCGCAAGCCATCGTCCACTCGGCGTCTCAGAATTGGACTCGGACGCCCGAGGAACGAGGGCGAGAGACAGCGACAGAGCAGAGGGAGGAAGGGAGGACGAGATAAAGGACGAGACGAGATTTGGAGTGGAGATCAGTGAAGCAGATTCTTCCTTCCGGTGCAACTGTTTCCGGAAGCAATTGAGTCGATTGGGGGAGCGGGGCAGAGAGACAGCGGCGCAATTGATCGTCGTGTGCTCTGTTTCTGGGCTCAGGTCGGTGGAGGGCGGCATTGACAGCAGCAGGAAGGGCACGAGGAGAGGAGGAGGACAGAGAGAGTGGATGGCCGCGACGCTGTACGCATCGCTGATGGGCGGAGGGGCGGCGAAGAAGGATGAGGGGCACGAGGTGGAGTTTTGGCACGACCCCGAGAGAGCAGGGTGGCTGATGAAGCAGGGGGAGTATCTGAGGACATGGCGCAGGAGGTGGTTCGTCTTGAAGGAGGGGAAGATTTTCTGGTTCAAGGAGACTGAGTTGAGCAAGAACTCGAAGCCCAGAGGTGTGATTCTGGTCGGCAACTGCCTGACGGTGAAGGGTGCAGAGGATGCCCTGAACCGGCCCTACGCCTTCGAGCTGTCTACCAGCAAGGAGACGATGTATTTCATCGCCGACACGGACAAGGAGAAGGAGGATTGGATCAACTCCATCGGCCGTTCCATCGTCCGCCACTCCAAGTCTGTCACGGATGACGAAGTTCTTGATTATGATAGCAAACCTGTCGGTAACCCCAAGTAGAATCGGTCGTTCTTGTTCGGAAGAGTCGGCAGCCGATCGGAGTTATCCAAGGGTTTCTCGCATCCATTGTTTGCCCATGCGAACACGTGTTGTAGTGTACAGTTCCCCTCCCCTCCTTGGCGATTAGGTCACCCTGCTGTGGTCGTTTTTTTGTTCTCGAAGGAAGTCAGCTCTGAAGGACTATAATTTCAGACAGATTCTGGAAAGTGCAAATTTGCGAAGTCTTGTACTAGGGAGGAAAAGGTGATGTTAGATTGGGTGTATGAAATTCCGTGTTCGTGGCTGCTTGCTGAAACGCGGGCTTTCGAGACTTCGAGCAGGACGATACGAGACGTGTGTCTCGCCTGGTCTAATTGTTGTGAACCCGGTCGATTTTTTAATTTCTTTTTTGAGGTCGGAGGAAGGCGGAGGAGGAAGATATATATACTTTTTGAGGTCGACGAAGCCCAATTGTGTATATCACCGGGGCCCTGAAGAACAGACGTAGAGATAATCGGCAGGGAGAATGTGCAGACATCGCTACTGCCGTAGAAAATGTGCTCTCTGTAGGGCTAGTAGGAGGATTTCTACAATGTACAAGCAGAAAAGATAGGCAGATGCTGCGTGCAAATCGTGGCGTCCAAGGTCGTCAATGACACGTAATTGTTTCGGCATACGCTTCTGAAAATGCAGTATATCGTTGCGGTTAAAGTGAGATATCAAGAGCGTTGATTTCACATCTTGGAGGCAAGAAGCTTTTGTAGAGTGCCCCGGAGAAGTGCGACGAGCAGCAGTTTACTATATCTTGAGCAGGATTTCAACAGAAGAGGAAGGAAACATAATGTTTACTAATTTTCTTTGTACACATGAACCTGTAGTCTTTGTGCTACTACTGAACTGTGGAGCACCGGCTACTCTTGGAGGTCACATCTGGCTTGCTCTTGTCACCAGCCCGCTTGTTTGCTCAATTGGCTTCTACTCCCACAAAGCAACGTGATCTCGATGCCTGATCTTGGAGCTCAGCTGTAAGCACGTTTACATGACGGAGTGATGTTTTGTCATGTTTGATAGTTGTTGCGGCTATATGATGCTCTCAGCTTTCTTTGAAATTCGTCACACATAATACATTGTCGTATGTGACTTTTGGAATGAGGATGTAGGCCTGTAAGGGTGAGGAGGCCGGGGATTTCAGTGGTCCTGCAGTTGTGAGATTCATATGTCTTCCAATCTCCTGAGCCCGCGGATGAAACGAAAGGCATGTATGCGTCCGGAGTGAACCTTTTGAAGGATCTGTCCTCACATACCCCATCCTTCTGCATGATCACTTTCTGAAAATTATGATTTGTGTCTGCTGGTTATACCCTTCTCTTTCTGAGATAGAGGAATATGAGTTTTCTACCACCTTACATGGGGAACGTCCAATCTGTGTGTCTTCTGGGTTCTGCCTGACTGTGACTAATGTGCAGGTAGCCAGAAATCGTTGGAAACGTGCTTGGGTCAATGAAGTTCATGGTTAAGAAGTGCTTTTTCTGTTTCTTCATTTGTTGCAGGTGCACAGGAGAGGTTTTCCTGAGGATCCATGAGCCTCTCCTGAGCTGGAATCAATTGCTTGTAATAAATCACGTCATGTTGTTGGAGTGTGTGTCGAGATGTGTAGTGGTCTCTAAGGAAATTTGCAGTTCAGGATACAGGGAATTTATGAAGCAGACATTTTTTAGATGAGAAGTACAAGGAATGGGCTGTTTTGTATGCGTACAGGCTGGTTTCGTTATCGAGATTGTCCCCTTGGAGGTGTAATTTAATTTAATGGCGATCTTTATATGCAATTTGACAATCGAGGTACGTTGCCCTTACAGCAGTTTGTAGATTGTGCCAGTGCTATATTGGCGACGGTTTGAAAATAATTAGATTTTTATCATCTATCTTTCTGGCAGATAGAAAGGTAAGGTGATAATACATTGGTGACCATGAATATCAACTAGCAGCAAATATATGGGAGCCATGTACTTGAATATTCTCATCGGAGCACTGGTAAAGTTATCGGTATTGGTCAATTAATATCTTGCTGGTGACTGTTCCTTTCACAGCACTCGAATTTGGGTGATTTGGAGTGGGATCCATAGATCCCACTCCAATAAGGAGCAATGACCACCGTTGCGAGTTGGAAGTCAAAATCTGAAGTGTTGATTTGGGAAGTTGTAAAACGCACTTAAGGGATTGAGGTGACATATGCGCCAGATTGTATTAAATACAAAGAGTGAATTTATGGCACCTGAGGTTGCAAACACGTTGGCGTAGCGTAAATGGATTTCTCCAGAGTCTAAAACATAGTATGAATCTTTAAAGGAACGAATTATTTAAGAAGGGAAGGAAAAGTTGAACAGTTGATGGAAATACATTAGTTTGCATAAAGCTTTTGTACATCAGGACGGACGTTGTAAATTCATGACGTGTTCTTTAGAACATTACATGATTTCACACTTCACACTTTGTTCTTCGGAGGTAAAAAGCATGGGAATCCTTTTGCTCTGGTAAACTATTGTTATTAATGATGGTTTCATATGTATATATGAATATAAAATTGCAAAATGGATTGTTATGAAAATTAAAATTTGTTTTTGGGCAAATCTGATCCAATATTTAGTTTAGATATTGTAGTTGGTATACATATGACATACAGAGACAATTATTAACAAATTTTCATGAAATATTTGAATATTACACATATCTGTTGATAAGAAAACTTAACCAAGAACATGTATTTATTTAAATTTTGAAGTGGAAAATATATGCATACGAGTTATAAAAAAAAACCATAGATTTTTATTTAATTTTTGAATTATTATATGAAACTATTAAAAATTCGAATTTTCAAAATTATGAAATTTGAATTTTCAAATTTATTCGTTAATTTTTAAAAATTATGAATACAAGATATATACATATTAAATGTATAGAGAGTAAAATTTAGGTCTTTTAAATATGTACAATTGGAAAAGAATCAAAGTCAAACTGGAAACATAATCAATCATTTTTATAACTTTTGCATATGAAGTAAGGAGATAAGTATAACAATTGTACTACAAAAACTTCATTTAAAAAAATTCTCATACAATACATGTTTACTTTAGTCTTATTTATTAAAGATATCTACTTAAATTTGATGAGCTTGAATTAGGATCACCTTGAATGTTATAAGGTTAAGATGTGTTCATTTGAGTCAGATGAGCTTTAGAGTGAATGACACAAAATCTTAAGATCACATTGACTCATTTGATAATTATATTATTGATGTTGAGAATCTTTTAAAGAGATAAATGATGAAATAAAAAACTTACATCTCTTGAATTCATTACTTGTTTCATATGAATCATTGTCATGTGTGTTACTTCATCATGATAGATAGACAATCATTTATTATGAAATATTTATTGAGGGATAATTTATAAAAATAATAATGAATATATATAATCTATATTTATTTTTTGAAAAAAATTAAAAAAATAATCTGAAAAAAATATGACAAAAGTATGACAAATATTTTGAATCTAAAAGAAAAATTTAATTTTAGTACCAAATAATTAGAAAAGAAGGCAATGAAACTTTAGATTTATGGCAAATATCACTGCAACAAAAAGAGTTAACATCAAAGCTGCTCATATTTCTTTAGCCAATGTGGTTCAAGAGTTTGATGGCAAGGAGTATAATTTGTTTGAAGATGATCCATGATGTATGCTTGTTTCCATCAAACTTGTAACTTTAGAGATAACTTTAATACTTTTTCAGTATCAAAGATTTTAATTTATATTATAAATAATCAATTTAATTTGTAATATTGAAGATATTAGATTTGTCAAAATTCAAATTTTTGATGGAATATGTCCAGGTCTTGTCTAAGAGGTTAGCACCAATCATAATTTAATTACTATTTATCATCTTGTCATAAAGCTGCTACTGCAAGAAGCTTGCCGATTGAGATAAAAAAAAAACTCTTCGATGCTATAACACTTCTTTTTATTATAACTTACAGTAGATAGTTTTGATTCTGTGTCCGAAAGGCAACTTCCTATACACTCTCTCCAATCCAAGTAGAGTAACTCTTTGCTATCATCAAGATGTACATAAACCATTCCATCTCACACCTCAATCAATCAAACTTTCAAAAACACATGCAAGAAAAGTTTCAAGTAGAAAGATGAATGTTTGGTGTACAATCATTGTAACTAGTGTTCTTTTGTAAGTTTAATGCATCTTTTACCTATTAATGACTTTACATGCTTTTAAACACCAACTCAATGTCATTGCATTCTAGTGTAAAAGAATGTAAGATTTCAAACTCCAATTTAATCTAATTACATTATAGTATACATTTCATGGTTGCACGGTAAGGAAAGCAAAAAAAAAAAGTAGTTTTTGAACACCAATTCAATCTCACTACATTCTAGTTTACATTTCATGGTTGCGCAGTAGGAAAAGCAGAAAAAAGAAGAAGTTTTCAAATATCAATTCAATCTCACTCCATTGTAATCTACATTTCATAGTTGCACGGTAAGCAAAGTCTAAAAGAAAATAAGATTTCAAACACCAATTCAATCTCACTACATTCTAGTTTACATTTCATGATTGCGTAGTAATGAAATTTTAAAAGAAAGTAAGACTTCAAACATCAATTCAATCTCACTACACGCACACGATACCCGAACAGGCTCCCCGCGCACTACGTACCATAAAAAATTTTCATACGGTATTCTCCGACGAACGAAGCTCTCAGAGCATTGTACACTTCACACTGAGTTCCTCAGTCTTAGTCAAAATGATTGACACTCCAAGCCATGTGCTGCACTCACAACATTTCATGCTTGCACTATAAGAGAAGTCCAAGAGAAGATTGATGAACACTAATTTTTGGTCTGTTGCTCTATGAATTCCACAAAAATCCAGTCCATTGCACACTAGAAGCCAAGACACGGCTTACAAACTTCTGGCCCATTTTTAAGGATTAATAATCCCTTTGTCTAATAAGATATTTGTTCATTTGACTTATTTACACTACTATATTCACTTGTCACTCGTTTCCTCCTTGATTTAAGGTGTAGTTGATAACTTGTCTTTTCAAAGTTATGTAGAGCCATCTTCATCACTTTGAAGCGGGTGTTAGAGTATTAGAGAAGATATAATACTTCTACTTTGTCTTAGTCTTCTTTGCATTCTCTTTTATCACCGTGTTTTCATTTGTTGGATTTTACTCCTTGTCTTTTGTTGTGCTTTTACACTCCCTTTCAATCTGCATGAATTTGGATGTGCTAAAGCAATTCTTATTTGTGTTTACATGTTGAATTTTGCTCTCAGTTACCTTGTCTACTTCTATGGTTTCCATTTTGATTTCACAATTCTCACCTTCCTCCGTCAGTTCGGAAACGGAGCAAAAACCTTCTTCTCTTGAAGTTTCAATATGCTTTCGTACACCTTTTTTTACTCTACATTCATAGTCTTCCTATCAAAAGAGAGCTTGCATTAATTTGAGTCTGTTGTATTACTAGAAACCTTTTCTTCATTGTCTAGTACCTAAGCAAGGTCGCAATTGACTTCTACAACATTCACTGCCGTTGCGACCTTCACTCCCTCGCATCCTACTCTATCGGTCCCATATCTTGATTGTCCCTATTCATGGTTGCAATGAGTTTATCTATCTTGTTTTTTTCTACAGAAAAAGATGTAGTTCTGCTCTTATCATCATCAATTGACTACTTTCAACCTAAAGGTTCTACTTTTGATGAAATATCAATTTCCATCTTTATGTCAATGCTCTCACGGTTCTTCTTGTTATCTTATACTACTCTTTCCTTAGCAATATCGAGATGCTTCATCATAGTCTCCTCACCTTGTGCTATCTCAATCTTGGCACAATCAATCTTTTTTACGTTGGAAAAGTGATCGTCTTTGGCTACTTTTGAACATTTTTCACCATTCTTTTTTGAAACCTCCTAAAACATCTACTACTCTTTTTCAATTTTCAAAACCATCTGTTCATATCGTACAACATATAGTAATTCAAGGTAGATTTATATGTGATAAAAAAATTATGAATTCTCTTATAAAGTTAGATTCAAAAATAGTTGATTTGAACTTTAGGAAGTAAATGGTCAAGGTAAAAATAATATTTTAAGGGATATACAAGCACAAAAATTTATACTTGCTAAAGTAGATTAACATTGTTTATGAAGTCAAATTTATTAAATTCTCAAGTTGAAATGTTTCATGTATGACATATTAGTTCAGAAGACATAAGTAATGGATACATAACATTTCTTGATGATAGTAGCTTGTTATCTTGGGGTGAAAAAGTTGATTTAGAATTTTATGAATATTATATTATGAGCAAGTATGATAATCAAGAATTTGATATTGGAACTCATATATCAAAGAAATAACTTTAGTATGTATATAGTGAAGTGTGAATAAACTCTTTTTGGTAATTAGTCAAAGTTTGTGTAAATTTATCTTCTAACATAAAAGTTTAGTCTCTTTATAACTTTTGAAAGTTAAAAAGTTCAAGTTGGGATTCAAATTAGACAAAAGTTGAGATATTTATGTACAAATAATGTCAAAACAATGACAAAAATTATAATTTTGAAGACTATTAAAATAATCGCAAAGAAAAATTTATTACTCGGTTTTTCATCACAATTTATACCCTGCAACAACACCTTGTTTTTGAAAGAATCAATTGAACAATGTTGAAGAAAATATTTCAAATTTTGAAACAATCTGCTTTAAACTATGAATCTAGTTTAAAGCTGCGAATATTGCTATATATTTGAAAAATTGTTCTCTTTCAAGTGCAATTTATTTTTTGATATTGATTATATCTTAAGATTGATTATAGTTTTTGTTGTATGACTTATACTCTCATATCTAAGTATAACAGTATTGAGTTTGATATTACATCCATGGTGTCAAATAATATGACATAATTTGAAATGATATGTTCTTTGTGTGTATTGTCAAATATCTTGCTTGTCGTTCCTAGCCATTGTCACTACCATCCTGGTAGCTAATGAGCTAACGTAGAAATCATCAAACTTGTGCAAAATTGTCGTTGATCAGCGAAACACAAAATTCACGTAAAAGCAATCAAATTTTGATTGATTAGAAATGATTGTAAAAGTTAGAAAGCAATCAAGTAGATAACAAAAAAGAAAATGATCAAAGCCAATTTGATGGCTAGAGATTTTACACAAGGAAAAATATGGACTATAATACATTATTTTCACCTGTAAATATAATTATTACAATTTGACTTATATGTGAAATTTGTGTAATACTTAGTTCGGTTATGTATTAAATGAATGTAGATACAATGCTTTATTTTATAGATCCTAGAGTAGTCTATTGCAAAAGTATATTAGATATGGATTTTCATAATGATTTGGAGAAAAAAAATTATGATTGAGTTAAGCCAAGTAGTTTCAACAAATGAGAATGAGAAAAGAATAATTCATTCAATTCCTATGATAAGGCTGTGCGTAGCAATATGTGTTTGATGCTGTGTACAAGATCAATTATTGCTCAAACTATGAACAAAATGAGCTGATCCATGTCAAATCTAGAAAAGTTGCATTAAAAAGTAGTGAAATGAAATCTTAGTTAATTTGAGATAATAAAAAAAATCTTTTTTATGCTACATTGATATTGACAAGAGTAAATCTATAACTAACTATGTTATGTCACTTAGTGGTGGATGCACTAGTTGAAAATTTATTTTACACAAATGCATAGCTCAGTCTACAACGCAAGTTCATTATTTAGCGACAGCAAAGATACAAAAGTAAATAAATTGATTGAATAGGTTTATTTTTGAGATGAGGTTGAAAAAAGAAAATATTAATGTTCATTGTGATAATCGAAGTGTGTTGCATCTTGCTACAAATCAAATCAAATGATGGACAACTGAAGAAAACACATCAACATATAATACCATTTTATTAGAGATTTAATTTTTAATTGATACAGTGAAGATTGACAAGAAATTCATTGAAGTAATTGATGTTGATACATCAAAGCAATTTTTATATGTCCATGTATTTATACTCTATTTTGACTTTAGCTTAAATATTGATTAGTTCTAGGTCAATTGATTGAGATATATCAAAATTCATTCTAAAACTATGCATAGGATAAGTAATATATTTTGACCACGACATGAGTTAAAAGAGGGGTTTTTATTTTAACTCTCAAGTCTAGGATTAGAGTTCAGAGTCTAATCCAAGACTTGTAATTCTTACTTAGAGTTTAATTTGAGTACTAGTTGGTATGAATTAGATTTCAGGTTAATTTTAATCCTAACCATAATTAGAAATTAACTTTTTGCTCATATTGAACCTTTTACAGATTTTGTGTAGTGACAAACTAATTTGAGACTTGAGACCCCAAAGTAGAATTTAATTCTAACCCTTATTGGTTACAATTGGAGCATAGGTTAACTTTAATTCTAACCCTTATTATAATTCAAGTTTCCTCACATTGAAAATTTTATAGATTTTATGTATTGAGGAACTAACCTTAGTTGGTTGAAATTAGAGTTTAGATTAACATAAATTTTAGCCCTAGTTAGAATTCAAGTTTATGCTCGCGTTGAAAATTTTATAGGTTTTGGGTACTCATAACCTATGTTTTTTAAGACATTGTGTGTTAGTGAAGTTCTTAGATTCATCATGAATGATTGAGTGTGAACTGTAGTACATATATTTTTTAGAACGTTCATCTTGTTGCCATTCCAATGTTAGATTGCCATTCCGCACTTAAACATTTCAACATGATCATCAAATTCATGGATGCGTTGTACCTAATGTGGCATTGCAAGTTTATTGGCACGTCGTCCGATTGTGAGAACATCAAGACTGGATGACATTCCGGTCTGGTAAGCCATATTTTCTAGTATGCTGAGAAGAAGATGTTGCACATATGGTGCGCTCCTCATCAGATCAACATCGTTGCAAAATCGTGTGCTAAAGAACTCATCGAGGGCAAATGGATCCAGTTTGCCTACTCCATGACTGTATTATTGCGTGCCCAGAACAACCTTATAATCAGTATGAGGAACAAATGTCCAAAGACAATCAATTGGTGAATACATTTGGATTGCGTAATCTATATTCTAAAGACGTATCGTCGATCCATCGTCGCGTACAGTAAGGAGCAACATCGCGATTTGCACATGCCAACGGACGAGTGATGGATGATCACATATGCGGTATGGCCAGCCATCGATGCGATCAACGTAACGTTTGCACGTCTCAGAGTAGGAGCAGCACATTCAAGCTTTGATCGCAGCTCTCACCATCATGTTTATCATCCAGACTGCGGAGTAAGACATGACAAACAACAATGTCCGACTACTTGTATCTCTTGACAATATGTATATTCAAACGGATACGATAGTCGATCACATCAGCGATCAATTTCTTTGGCAGGCTTAAGCTACGACCTCCTGACGGAAGATGGGAAGATTGCGATTTTGAAGTAAATTGATACAAATGCAATGAAGCTTGTGTGTGGTCTCATGAGCGATATTGAAGGAAATTGATACAAATGCAATGAAGCTTGTCTGTGGTCTCATGAGCGATATTGAAGGAAATTGATACAAATGCAATGAAGCTTGTCTGTGGTCTCATGAGCGTCAAAGCGGAGAGTGACAATAATAACCGTGCTTTCGATAAAGATTCACCATCCGTGATTCCACCCGAACTCATGCGCACGGGTGTGCTCATCGATGACATGTTCAATCCATTCCGAGCTCATCTTGCAAAGTGGTGGAGTGAGTACAACATTGAGAAGGTCGTAAACGAATACCGTGACCTCCACAAACTGTATACAAAAGATTCATCAAATAGTACTTCGATGAGACATAGTCATTTCTACCGGACAGATTCCATAATCTTTGCTAGTTCTACAATGCATTTGCGATGATTTCTGCTAAAACTATGTCTATGGAGAGTTACTTCTCCATTCTGAAATGAAAGATGGACGAGTTTTATTCTTGCTTAATGCATCTGTCCTTAGAGGGTATCTTCTAGAAGAAGGAGAGAGATATACTCGACATTTTAAACCAATAAAAGGACTTTTTTATGCAAAAAAAACCAACTTTGGCGGCGTGTACAAATTAAGCTATTTTTGTTAGTTTGTATAAATGTACAAACTTATGAGTCCTGGTGTAAGGGGATATTTTGTCGACATGAGTGAAGAAAAGACTTACATTATGTAGGGAGTTTTTCTAGGTCTAAGGTTTTAATTTACAGCCCTATGGCAGAGGAAAAATCAGATCATTTACATTGATCTGACCATCTACACATCCCACCGTAACATTTCTAACACCACTATTTATCTTTACGACCATACCCATTTTGAGTAATCCTTCATAGGGCTGTATGTATAAAACTAGTTTTGGGCATGTCCCGTTCGCAGTAAAATCCATATCCGGATGGTTAAAGGCAAATTCACGACGCTGCAAGTGGCATGCATCAATAACGCTTTCTGCAGATACCTTCACAACGTCCTGTACGTATTTGCATTTAGAAGGGCATGGTACGGAATGATCAAGTTTTGATCACTCCTTCGTTCCCGTCTTGAGTTTGCTTTCGTCGATGTTGATACCCTTCAATTTCGCTGCTTTTCCACCCCATTCCTCACGCGTAGACAAAACTCCCTTCAGTCCCATCTCCCGATATCCTTCTTTCCCCAGCTGACTCAAGCGAGTCTGTCCTCCGTCGATACGACCTGAAAATAATAATCATGCAATCAATTAAATCTGCCTGAAAATACCGTGAAGTGCAGGTATTAATCATCAACATTGTTCTAATCTTCTTGAAAAGAAAAGCGTAATAAATGACATTATTTTTCTCAGTAATAAAGTCAGTTCTTATTTTTCGATTATGTCTCTGTCAAACAATTCCTTCAGAGCATTGTTCGCATGCTACACAGTTCCTGTTGCTATGAATTTGCTACGCAGCTGCAACATTTCTACAACTGTCCTTTCCATATTCCTATTTATTGAGAATGCTGATGGAGACTTAGGATCTCATCCCACTGCGGTAAGTAGTTACCGCAGGTATCACTGTGTCAGCTTGAGGTGGCACTTCGCGCACGTCAACGACGAGCTCGCTGTATTATTCTTCCAGCTGCTCAAAAAGCTTATTTGGAAGGATCCGAGGATATTACGGAACTATCGCAACACAATTCATGCATAAATCAATGAATGAATTTCAGTTCTGTATTAGGAGCAATTTGATTGCCACTGCGGCAATCTCATATTCAGTTCTGTGCTTAGAGGTCGCATGCCCATATGTCCGACCTGATACAACCTGAAGGAACAATATACAATAGTAGCCACAGTGCACATATTATTTACATACAGTCCCACAGCTGCTAGAGTAGCAACTATGCCATTCGATTCACAACTGTAACGACTCCGATTCGGAGTACGTTCAATTCCTCGACCTGCACCCAAAGTTCTAACGCTTAATCACTTGATCAGATCTGACGATGATAGTGAAAACCTACCATCGAAAAGTATATTGGTTTGTCAGCCATACTTCCGTTTTACATCCTCCACTGGAGACGATGCGCCTACTGTCAGAGACTACTATTTTATAATCGACTTTCGTGACTTACGCAATATACACTCCAAAACTTAAATCAACATATAAACAGTCAATGTAACTTGTTCAAAATGTTCAATACTATTTCCGGTGATGTCTCTGCTCGACCGATGTTACGACACTCTATCCCTTCAAAAAATCACGATCGGGAATAAGTCTGCGAAGATGATTGATTTCATCTGATATACTATATCGAAGGCACTGCCATTACCGTCCTATCGTAGGAGAGTTTACTACAGCAATATGTCAATTATCATACCACTTATTGGTGTATTAAACACACCAATTTCTGTTCAGCAATCGGTATAAGGTCATCTGGTCAACACGAGTCTAATGCTTGATCACTTGATCAATTCTGCCTATAAAAGTGAAAGACAACAGTACTGCCCATGCTGTGCATCATGCAGTTAATAACACAGACTATACTTGACCTTTACAATCGGCATTTTAAGACACCATCACTGGAACAAACTATCACAAAAACTCTACACAAATTCCACTACTTCTTTTGAGTCAGCAAGTATGTTTTCTGCTCGAAATGCTCTTTGTTTCCGTGATACTTATACTCTACCGACGTTAGAATCCTCAATCCCTTCAGTTATCCGTCGAGAGGGAATGAAGAATTTTAAGACTGCGAAGATAGCTGATTCATAGACAGTATCGATGGCACTGCCACTACCCTTGCAGTGAAGCATAGTTTACTGTGGCAATTCAGCAATAGCCAAACCATCTCTTCGATAATTGCTACATCGCCTCGAAGAACTTGGCGATAACCTTACATGGAGTTGACATTCACATTCACAATCTCAAAATATCGAAGAGAGTTGCGTACATTGAGCGGCCTGTGATGGGAAAACTGATATCAAATTCGGCCCAAATTTGCATAAGGGATTTGCCAAGTTCCACTATACACGAGCCATTCCCACCTGAAATTCTTCTTCCCGGATTGCAGCAAGAAATTAGGAGAGAAATGTCCAAACACTATCCAAAACTTCGTAATGATCGGCATCCACGCTCGTCGCAACTGCTGCGGGTAACAAGCTCGTGGATTCGAGAAAAAGACTTTACACACCTTTGGCCAGATTAACCTGAGCTTCGAGAGAATTTCCACCGCGGCCGCCGGGCACGACCACCTCCCCAGCCCTTGCTCGGTCGTCCAACTCCTTCCGCTTCTCCTCAGTGACCATTAAATATTCTGCACAGTTCGAAATCAACCGCATTCAGAGCCGGACAGACGGCCAGGCATCCCCGACCCGAGACTCCCACCCCTGGGGTCCTACACAACGAACTGGACCTGTGCCCGATCCGGTAATGCCAAGGGAGGAATCTCCGAAAGTACGACGGCATCTCTAAGCCACTTATGTTTCTTACCAAAGAGATTGAGATGACCGGCGTCTGTGTGTTGGGTTCGGTGCTGCTTTTGCTTGCTTTCTTCGTGATAGATGTATTGGAGCAAGCTCGCAAGCTCCTTGTCCTCTTTAAACTCTGCGCTCAGGCCTTCTGTAGGCTTGAACTAGAGTTTCGACATGGAATCGTCGATCAGAAAAAATTTCCGGCCCCTCAAATTGACAAGCTGGCGCTCAGGGCTCTATATGTTAGGACACGGTGAGGCAAGGTGGTGATTTGCATGGCAAATCTCGTGGCCGGTCACTTGACCGCCCTGTGTGTCACAAGTCTGGGTCTCGGATCGAGACGTGGTATCTCTCGCTCCGCAGTCCGTCCAGTGTTGTGCTCGGGAGTTTTCAGTAACAGGACCGTCCATCCGAACGCTGTCTGTCCAGAGATGTACGATGCAAGAGCTCATTGGATCTTCCACGAATTAAAGTCACACTTACGAGTCACTGGAATCAGCAAACCTCGGGATGTCTCTTTTTTTCTGTTTTGTATTCCTGTTAGAGCTTTCTTGGGCAACTTTGGCCGAAGTTTGAAATTCAGATCGTTGTTTCCAGGATTATCTACGATTCATGGTTATAGCAAGGTTAGACATGAGGTTTAAATCATGTAGTCAGCGGTTGACAACAAGGAGATAATCGTTGAAATCAGTGAGTGAGTGAATCGTTGAATTTGGTCGAGGGGTCGTTGAAAAGCAGATATGTGTATGAAGTCAGATTTGAAAAAGTACAGTACGTGCCATAACTTTGGTATCGCCTCCATAGGTACGTTACTACTATCGTATATCAAATGATGCGTAGGATACATGAAATCTATGAACCCGGTCGATTTTTTTTCATTCTTTTTTGAGGTCGGAGGAGGAAGATAAATATACTCTTTGAGGTCGACGAAGCCCGATTGTTTATATCACTGGGGCCCTGAAGAACAGTCGTAGAGATAATCGGCAGGGAGAATGTGCAGACATCGCTACTGCAGTAGACAATGTGCTCTCTGTAGCGCTAGTAGGAGGATTTCTACAATGTACAAGCCGAAAAGATAGGTGCGTGCAAATTGTGGCGTCCAAGGTCGTCAATTTCACGTAATTGTTTCAGCATACGCTTCTCAAAATGCAGTACATCGTTGCGGTTAAAGTGATATCAAGAGCGTTGAAGTATTGGAGTCAAGAAGCTTTTGTAGAGTGCCCCAGAGAAGTGCGAATAGCATCAGTTTACTATATTTTCAGCAGGATTCCAACGGAAGAGTAAGGGAACATAATGTTTACTAATTTTGTTTTACACATGAACCTGTAGTCTTTGTGCTACCACTGAACTTTGGAGCACCGGCTACTCTTGGAGGTCACATCTGGCTTGCTCTTGTCACCAGCCCGCTAGTTTACTCAATTGGCTTCTACTCCCACAAAGCAACGTGATCTCGATCCCTGATCTTGGAGCTCAGCTGTAAGCACGTTTACATGACGGAGTGATGTTTTGTCATGTTTGATAGTTGTTGCGGCTATATGATGCTCTCAGCTTTCTTTGAAATTCGTCACACATAATACATTGTCGTATGTGACTTTTGGAATGAGGATGTAGGCCTGTAAGGGTGAGGAGGCCGGGGTTTTCAGTGGTCCTGCAGTTGTGAGATTCATATGTCTTCCAATCTCCTAAGCCCGCGGATGAAACGAAAGGCATGTTTGTGTCTGGAGTGAAACTTTTGAATGATCTGTCCTCACATACCCCATCCTTCTGTATGATCACTTCTATACATTCATACTATGATCCAGAATATCATACTTCTATACATTCTTAGCTAATACGTAATTGCCGTAAGTGTTATTAGAAGACTAATTCTCAGCAAAGACTGTACCTTCTTCTTCTCCTTCCACCCTTCGTTTGGAAAACGAAGGGTGGAACTCAAGCAACAAGAGCCGATCAGTTGGAGCGGAATGGATCATTCGATCGAGTCTTAATATGCAACGGAGAAGAAGTAAAGTGCATTTGTGCGCTTCGGTACCCTTGCGCGAGAAAAGAACTAGAATGAACAACGCTCGGAGGTCGCGGTGGAAGGAAGATGAGCAAGCCTAAACGCGAGCAACAGCCGAAGGTGCTGTAATGGTCACTGAGATCGGACGAAGAGTCATTGGGGACAGATTGAGAGAATTGAGAATAATCTCTAATGAGTAACGAAAAGATCACCATTGGATCTTCAGTAAGGAATGGGTGCTCACAGGTGTATCACAAATAAATTGATCAGACGATGTTGACAGTTGATACTGACGTATAACCGAGCACTGTTCCCTCACTCCTTCAGTACTGCCTAATCATGCAAGGTCGTTCGTGTTGAGCGTAGAGATTCTCTAAAGTATTTCGCGCACGGCAAGAGAGAATAATTAACTGGTCACTTAAAAAGAATCCGGGTGGAAGAGAGAAGCGAACGGATTACGGATTTTGAGACACTAGCCTATTGCTTATCACAATCTCGTCTATGGTTTCCTTTGACTTGTGCATCTTATTGAATCGTAACGAATGCCATAACGAGCTCTTTCTCCCTCCATGTTGAGCGACCATCCAAGCTCAGAGCTAGAGCGAAGTACTTTTTCTTCAGAAATCCGCGTGATATGTTGCAAGTGTGACAATTCGACGTGAACGATAGGTTAGAAGTAAAAAGTGAAGCAGTCTAGCTCGCCCTCTAGTTCTAGCTCGCTCTATCTCAATGTCAATCTGGCTCGCTCGAGTCCTTTAGCTCGCGCGTCGTGATGACATTCTCTCTGTATGAGGAAGAGTGCATGTGATTGTAATTATATATAATAACTGGACTCCACATCTCAATCGTGCAAAGAATGTGAGTGTAACTTTAGTAGATAAATAGAGTTCAAACTAGGATGAATAACGTTGATGGAAGTGATTGTGAATCACTTCCATCAACGTTTCAACTCTTTATTAAAACCTGCAGAAACTCCAGGTTTTAATCAAGAGTTCATATTGCAGTTTCTGCAGAATGAATTCAAATTAATGCGCATCGACGCTTCTACAAAAATAGACCGAATCCAGCGCCAGGCAAGTGCCCAACAAGCAAGAGCAACCGAGCAAAAGACAACGGACCAAAAAGCACTAGACGTCCGCGCAGAAGCCAATCCCCAGGTTAGAAGAAGAACAGCAGAAGTTCATTTACTCCCCCGGCCTGAAGGTCATCAAGCCCGAACCGCGAAACAACCTGGAGTACCTAAAAAGCCACAAAGCAGGGCTCACGTACCCCAGTTCCAGAAAGATCATCCACACAAACAAACGGAAGAGCGAAAGGAAATGGAATGGACTCGGAAGTGCTGCGAGAGAGAGAGAGCCGAAACAAAGACCCAGGGTAAAGAGTTCCATAAAAAAGGCAGTCTCACATCCCATACCAAAAACCACAAGCCGACCCTTAGGTGACAACCACCTATTCCAGAGATGCATCTTCCAGCGTATTTGCAGGATAATCGGGCGTAATTTGGAACTTTGAAGATAAAGCTAGGATCGGAACTAATTTACAACTTTCTTAGCAAATGGCAAAAAAAATCAAATCCTAGCGCTGCCCCGTCGTGTGAGGAGCTTTCGTTTTCCTTCCAGATCAGAGTAAATTTCTAAGCGTTTCTTGAGTACCTCTCAATTCTAGTAGTGAATTTACTAACTAATGATTTTTGAAGCGTTTGAGCAATGATCAAAAGCGGCTTGGGAGTACTACAGCCCGTTTGACGCTTTCCATAGGCTTAAAATCGAAAGGTTATAGACTAACAGTATATTCTACCTGTTTGTTCTTTTGTAATATATTCTCCCATTGTAACAAGAATCATGTTGAGTTGCCGTGATTGTGCAAAGGATGCGCTAGCTATTGCTAATGCATTGATTTTTGGTAAATTCATCTTTGTGTGGTTTAAAGTCTCATGTCAAGATGGCCAGTTTGATATGAGATTTTAGACCCCACTCAGATGATCTGATAGCAGAAATTCTACATTTTCTAAATTTCAGTGTAGATCATTTGCAGAGTATAGTATCTGCTCTCACTATTTTAATTATGACCTCACGTTTGTATACTTCAAATCTGTAATTTATGATGGTGAGTAGCTCATGGGTACCTTTATTGGATACATAAAGGCATACGATTTAAATGCAGTAACCAGAATCGCTTGCAGCAATAACCTAGACAGGATTTTGAAGATGGTACGTGAAATATGGTGCTAGATTGCAGCCATGAAGACTCGAGGTGTCAAGTTTTATATAGGAAACTGATACAGACGTTTTGATTATCTTTTGTACGTGTGATGTGTTGTATTATCATGACCACTGTCTCAAACAGTACAATCGACCAAGTGACAAGATGTGAAAGCCCCGCAGTGAAAAAATTGCAGAAGCGGCGAAGCGCCAATGTGTTGAGATGCATAAGCGCTGAATACAAAGTGACCAACTCGCAACTTTCAAGGGTTCAAGATGCCAAAGAATGCAAACTGTTGAAGTCAAAGGGTTGAAACACAAGTGTAGATCGCGGAAGGGTAAAAAAAGAGTAAAAGTAAAATATTATAAATTTTGAAGTAAAAAGTTTGAATTGACAGAGATAAAAATTGTAAAAAAACGAATTATACGAAGAGTCAAAGGCCAAAGTGACAAATATTTATAAAAATAACTATAAATGGCCTTGACAAGAAAGATGAGGTTATATATTGTCACTGAAGAATTTCAAAGACGGACTGGGAAAGGCAACAAACCTTAATTATGAGCCGAAATAGCATGAATGAATTAACTGGTATATGTGCATGCCAAAATAAAATAAAATGTGGTTTTTTATTACTTATTCCCAAAAACCTCAAGATCTCTCTTTCACTAGCCGACTGCTTCCCGCTGACAACTATCCGTGTGCAGATAAAATTACGTCATAACAGCAACGCAAGGGTGTAAGGGAATTTCTTCTCGGCATGAGTGAAGAAAAGACCCACGCTTTGTCGGGATTTTTACTAGGTCTCAGGTTTTAATTTGCGGCAAAGGAAAAATCTTATCATTTCCATTAATCTAACCATCTGCACATCCCACCGTAACTCTTCTAACACCACTATTTATGTTTACGAACGTACCCATTTTAATTTCCCCTTCTTCAGGCTGTATGTACAACACTAACTTTGGGCATGCCCCGCTCGCAGTAAAATCCACATCCGGATGTACAATGGCAAAATCACGACGCTGCAAGTGGCATGCATCATCAACGCTTTCTGAACAAACCCTTCACTGCGTCCTGTACGTATTTGCATTTCGAAGGGCATAGTACGGAATCATCAGGTTTTTACCCCTCCGTCCTTCCGGTCTTCAATTTGCTTTCGTCGATGTTGATACCCTTCGATTTCGCTGCTTCTCCACCCGATTCTTCACTCGTGGACAAACCTCCCTTCCGTCCCATTTCCTGATAACCTTCTCTCCCCAGCTGACTCGAGCGAGTGTGTCCTCCCTTGCTACGACCTGGAAATAATAATCATATTACTAATAAACATGCGTGAGAAAACCGAGCAGTGTAGATATTTTTCTAATCTTTTTGAAAAGAAAAAAGTAAAAAATGACTTTATTTCTCTCAGTAATAGAAATCAATTCTTATTATTCGAGTATCTCTCTGTCAAATAATCCCTTCAGAGCATTGTTCGCATGCTACACAGTTCCTGTTGCTATGAATTTGCTACACAGCTGCAACAATTTTGAAACTGTCATTTCCATATTCCTATTTATTGAGAATGCTGATGGAAACTTAGGATGTCATCCCACTGCGGTAACCAGTTACCGCAGGTATCACTGTGTCAGCTTGAGCTGACACTTCGCGCACGTCATCGACGTGCGCGAAGCTTATTTGGAAAGATCCGAGGATATTACAGAACTATCGCCATTTAATTCATGCATTAATCAATGCACGAATTTCAGTTTTATATTAGGAGCTATTTGATTGCCACTGTGACAATCCCATATTCAGTTCTGTGCTTTGAGATCGCATGCCTATATGTCCGACCTGATACAACCAAAGGAACAATATACAATAGTAGCCACAGTGAACATATTATTTACATACAGTCCCACAGCTGCTAGAGTAGCAACTTTGCCATTAGATTCACAACTGTAACGACTCCGATTCGGAGTACTTTCAATTCGTCGACCTGGACCTAAAGTTCTAAGGTTTAATCACTTGCTCAGATCTGATTGTGACAGTGAAAAATTACCGTCGAAATGTATATTGGTTTGTCAACCATACTATTTTACGTGTATACTTCCGTTTTGAATCCTCCGCTGGAGACGATGCGCCTACTGTCAGAGACTACTATTTTATAATCGACTTTCGTGACTTACGCAATGTACACTGCAAGATTTAAATGAACATATAAACAGGCAATGTAAGTTGTTCAAAATGTTCAATACTATTTGCGGTGATGTTTCTGCCCGACCCATGTTACGATCCTCCATCCCTTCAAAAAACCACGATCGGGAATGAGTCTGCGAAGATGATTGATTTCATCTGATATATCGAAGGCACTGCCATTACCGTCCTATCGTAGGAGAGTTTACTACAGCAATATCGAAGACAGGTGCGTACGTTGTGATGGGAAAACTGATATCGAATTCGGCCCAAATTTGCATAAGGGATTTGCCAAGTTCCACTATACACGAGCCATTCCCACCTGAAATTCTTCTCCTCGGATTGCAGCAAGATATTAGGAGAGAAATGTCCAAACACTATACAAAACTTCGTAATGATCGGCATCCACGCTCGTCGCAACTGCTGCGGGAAACAAGCTCGTGGATTCGAGAAAAAGACTTTACACACCTTCGGCCAGATGAACCTGAGCTTCGAGAGACTTTCCACCGCGGCCGCCGGGCACGACCTCCTCCCCAGCACTTGCTCGGGCGTCCAACTTCTTCCGCTCCTGCTCGGTGACCATTAAATATTCTGCACAGTTCCAAATCAACCGCATTCAGAGCCGTACAGACGGCCAGGCATCCCCGACCCGAGACTCCCACCCCTGGGGTCCTACACAACGAGCTGCACCTGTGCCCGATCCGGTTAATGCCAAGGGAGGAATTTCCAAAAGTACGACGGCTTCTCGAAGCCGCGAGTGTCTCTTACCAGAGAACCTCGACCGGTTGAGATGATCCGCGTCTGTGTGTTGGGTTCGGTGCTGCTTTTGCTTGCTTTCTTCGTGATGGATGTTTTGGTGCTGGTTCGTAAGCTCCTTGTCCTCTATACACTCTGGGCTCCGCGAGTGTCTCTTACCAGTGAAACGCAAACGATCGAGATCATCGGCGTTTGTGTGTCGGGTTCGGTGCTGCTGTTGCTGGCTTTCTTCGTCATGGATGTTTTGGTTCTGGTCCGTGAGCTCCGTGTCCTCTTTATACTCTGCGCTCGTGCCTTCTGTAGGCTTGAACTGTTGTTTCGACATGGAATCGTCGATCAGAAACTTTTCCGGACCCTCAAATTGACAAGCGGGCGCTCAAGGCTGTATATGTTTAAACAAGGACACGGTGAGGCAAGGTGGTGATTTGCATGGCAAATCTCGTGGCCGGTCACTCGACCGCCCTTTGTGTCACAAGTCTGGGTCTCGGATCGAGATGTGGTATCTCTCGCTCCGCAGTCCGCCAGTGTTGTGCTCGGGAGTGTTCAGTGACAGGACTGTCCCTCCGAACGCTGTCTGTCCAGATTTGTACGAAACAAGAGTTCACTGGATGTTCGACGAATTAGAGTCACACTTACGAGTCACTGGAAACAGCAAACCTCGGGATGTCTCCTTTCTTCTGTTTTGTTTTCCCGGTAGAGCTGTTTTTTGCAACTTTGGCCGAAGTTTGAAATTCAGGTCGTTGTATTCAGGATTATTTTCGATTCAGGGTTATAGCAGGATTAGACATGAGGTTTAAATCACGTGGTAAGTAGTTGACACCAATGAGATAATCGTTGAAATCAGTGAGTGAGGGAGGGAATCGTTAAATTTGGTCGAGGGATCGTTAACAAGCAGATATGTGTATGAAGTCAGATTTGAAAAGGTACAGCACGTGTCATAAATTTGCTATTGCCGCCATAGTTACGTTACTAGTATCGTAAATCAAATGATGAGTAGGATTCATGAAATCTATGAACCTGGTCGATTTTTCTTTATTCTTTTTTGAGGTCGGAGGAAGGAGGAGGAGGAAGATAGATATACTTTTTGAGGTCGACGAAGCCCAATTGTGTATATCACCGGGGCCCTGAAGAAAAGATTGGCAGACGCTGCGTGCAAATCGTGCCGTCCATGGTCGTTAATGACACGTTATTGTTTCGGCATACGCTAATAATTTCAAAAATCTTGGTGATATCACCAAGAATTCTGTAGTCATATCACCTCACATCTAGATCAATCATACTTTCAAAAACATGTCCAAAAAAAGTTTCAAGTAGATAGATGGATGTTTGGTATACAATGGACCTAGTAGGCCTTTTTTTTTAAAACTAATGACTTTTTTACCTATTAATGTTTCAAACACCAACTCAATCTCATTACATTCTAGTTTATATCTTATGGTTGCATCAAAAGAAAAGTTTAAGAGAGTGTTGAATTTCAAACACCAATTCAATCTCACTACTATCTAAAAAACATCTCAAGGTTGCATCGTAAGGAAAGTCTAAAAAGAATTAAAGTTTTAAATATAAATTGAATCTCATTACATTCTAATCTATATCTCATGGTTGCATCCTAAGTAAAGTCTAAGAGTAAGTTGATATACTGTAAGTGTTTACTTATTGCTCTATGAAGTACTTCACAATTTTGGAGTAATATTGATCATTATATAATTAATTATATGACAGAAGGAGAGGTTTTTGTGCATGTAGAGTAAATTTGTAAAAAAATAAAATTGGTGAAGCAGAATATTGTTGATGAAGCAAAATATTGTGGTTTGAAAATATGAATATAAAAAATGTGGTTTTTTATTACTTATTCCCAAAAACCTCAAGATCTCTCTTTCACTAGCCGACTGCTTCCCGCTGACAACTATCCGTGTGCAGATAAAATTACGTCATAACAGCAACGCAAGGTGTAAGGGGATATTTTGTCGACATGAGTGAAGGAAAGACCGACGTTATGTAGGGAGTCCCGAGTACGGCCGTCTCTTACGAATCTTCTCTCCAGTGATGGACTTGCGGCCTTAAGCAAAGATGCTGCGTATAATGTTGAGTTATAATTCTTTGAAGATAGTTTTTCTAGGTCTAAGGTTTTAACTTACGGCGCTATGGCAGAGGAAAAATCAGATCAATTACATTGATCTGACCATCAACACATCCCACCGTACCATTTCTAACACCACTATTTTATTTTACTACCATACCCATTTTGAGTTACCCTTCTTAGTACAGCCAAGTTCTGGGTATGTACGTAGTTTTGGGCATGTCCCGTTCGCAGTGAAATCCATTATCCGGATAGATAATGGCAATATCACGACGCTGCAAGTGGCATGCATCATCAACGCTTTTTGAACATACCCTTCACTACGTCCTGTACGTATTTGTAATTGGAAGGGCATACTACGGAATGATCACGTTTTTACCACTCCTTCCTTCCGGTCTTGAATTTGCTGTCGTCAATGTCGATACCCTTTGATTTCGCTGCTTCTCCGCTTGATTCCTCACTCGTGTACAAACCTCCCTTCCGTCCCAAGGAGATGGGACGGAAGCGACTCCAGCGAGCCTGTCTTCCCTTTTTACGACCTGAAAATAATAATCATGCAATCACTTAAATCTGCGTGAAAACACCGTGAAGTTTAGGTGAAGCCCAGTGATTTATACATTTCATGCATAAATCAATGCACGAATTTGAGTTCCTGGACCTAAAGTTCTAAGCTTTAATCACTTCATAGTGGAAAACTACAATCGAACCGTATATTGGTTTGTCAACCATTCTATATTTTACGTCTTTACTTCCGTTTTACATCCTCCGCTGGAGACAATGCGCCTACTGTCAGAGACTACTACTTTATAACTGACTTTCGTGACTTACGCAATATACATTGCAAGATTTGAATCAACTTATAAACAGGCAATGTAACTTGTTCAAAATATTCAATACTATTTACGGTGATGTCTCTGCTCGACCCATGTTACGATCCTCTATCACTTCAAAAAATCACGATCGGGAATGGAACATCGTAAGACTGCAAAGATGATTGATTTCATCTGATATACTATATCGAAGGCACTGCCGTTACCGTCCTATTGTAGGAGAGTCTACTACAGCAATATGGCAATTACCATACCACTTATTGGTGTATTGAACACACCAATATCCGTTCAGCAATCAGCATACGTTCATCTGGTCGACACGAGTCTAATGCTTGATCACTCAATCAATTCTGCCTATAAAACTTAAAGACAACAGTACTGCCCATACTGTGCATCATGCAGTCAAAAACACACTCTGTACTTGACCTTGACATCTGACATTTCACATTCTCTACTGAAGACAAGGCGGCCATTTTAAGACATTATGACTGGAACAAACTATAACAACAACTCTACACATTATCCACTGCTACTTTTGAATCAGCAAATATACCGGAGATGTTTTCTGCTCGAAATGCTCTATGTTTCCGTGATAATTATACTCTACCCTACCGATGTTAGAATCCTCAATCCCTTCAGGTATCCGTCGAGAGGGATGAAGAACTTTAAGACTGCGAAGATAGTTGACTCTATACACAGTATCGATGGCATGACATGATTACTAGGAGCAGTGCTTCACTACAATAAGTGCGTAAGTATAAAGGAAAGATGAGTGCTCACAAGTGAATAAAGTACTGAAAAACAAAACATATAGAGCAGTGCTCACTACGACACTTTGATAACCTTGAAAAACAAAACATATAGGAGCAGTGCTCACCATGAAGGAATGAGTTTTTGTTATTGAAAAACTTGCTAAGTACATGCACACACACACTGATGACGCAAACATCATTAACAAACCTTACAGAGATCAACCTACCAGAGAGAGAACCTGTAGGTACAAGCCAGCAGGTCCAAAACGCAGGCGAGTACTGCCACCCTTTGCTCTTCAGGATATTCCAACCACTGGAATTACATTCTAATGTGGTGTTTCGATAATCAGCGTTTAGTAATGAGGTAGAAAAATTTAAAAACAGGTATCGACGAGTTTCACCTTGCCAGGTTTTGCGGAAATGATATATCTTCCCATATGTCTACAAAATAAAAACAAAAATTTGCAAAATTGTTGGAAGTTGGAAGGGAATAGCAAAAGAGAAAGTGAAATATTAAAAGTTCCGCTGAATTTTGGGATTACTTAAACGAATTACTCGAAGAGTCAAAGGCAAACATTTATAAAGATAATAATATTATCATTGACAAGAGTGCCATGAGTGACACAAGAGTGTCACTGAAGAATTTCAAAGACGGAAATGAGGAAGGCAACTAAACAAAATTATCAGCCAAAATAGCATGAATGATATAACTGGTGTACTGTGCATGCAAAAATATAATAAAATGTGGTGTTTTATTACTTATTCCCAAAAACTCAAGATCTTTCTTTCACTAGCCGACTGCTTCCCGCTGATAACTATCCGTCTGCAGATAAAATTCCGTCATGACAGGATGTAACAGAATATTTTCTCGGCATGAGTGAAGAAAAGTCCGACGCTCTGTAGGGAGTTTTACTAAGTTTCAGAAATTAATTTACGGCGCTATGGCAGAAGGAAAAACAGATTATGTACATTAATCTGACCATCTACACATCCCACCGAAACATTTCTGACACCACTATGTATATTTACGACCATACCCATTTCTATATACCCATTTTTATCTACCCTTCTTCGGGCTCTATGTACAACACTAATTTTGGGCATGTCCGGTTCGCAGTAAAATCCACATCCGGATGGATAATGGCAAATTCACGACGCTGCAAGTGGCATGCATCAACGACGCTTCCTGAACATACCCTTCACTACGTCCTGTACGTATTTGCATTTCGAAGGGCATACTACGGAATGATCAAGTTTTGATCATTCCTTCGTTCCCGTCTTGAATTTGCTTTCGTCGATGTTGATACCCTTCGATTTCGCTGCTTCTCCACCCGATTCTTCACTCGTGGACAAACCTCCCTTCCGTCCCATTTCCTGATATCCTTCTCTCCCCAGCTGACTCGAACGAGTCTGTCCTCCCTTGCTACGACCTGCAAAAAAATAATCATGTGATCAATTTCTCTGCGTGAGTATCGCACAGTGTACATGTTAATCACCAATATTGTTTTCATCTATTTGAAAAGAAATGAGTAAGAAATCGTAAAATAAAGTCACTGTAGGAAGTGACTTTATTTTTCGAATATCTGTATCGAGTATTCCTTCAGAGCATTGTTCACATGCAGCACGGATTCCTGTTGCTATGTATTTGCTCCACAGCTGCAACATTTTCACAACTGTCATTGCCAAATTGCTATTTATTACAAATGCTGATGAAGACTGTAGATCTCATTCCCCTACTAAAGCTCTCATCCTACAGGTTTCACTGTGACAGCCTGAGTTGCCACTTCACGCACGTGAACGACCAGCTCGCTGTATTACTTTCCCTCCTGCTCAAAAATTTTATGTGGAAAGATCCGATGATATTACGTAAGTATCGCAATAAAATTCATGCATTGTTCTATGCACAAATTTATATATGTGCATTGCGCCAATGCGACAATGCCGTATTCAGTTCTGCGCTTTCAGGTCGCATGCCCATATGTCCGACCTGATACAACCAATGGAACAATAACAATAGTAGCGACATTGTACATATTGTATACTTCCCATTCGCAAAGCTGCTAGAGTAGCAGCTTTGCCTTTCGATTCACAACTTTAACGAATCCGATTTGGAGTACGTTCAATTGGGTCACTTCAACCTACAGTTGACGATCAGATCTGACGATGATAAAAGGAAACTACAATTGTAAAGTACATTGGTTTGTCGACCATACTACATTTTACGTCTATACTTCCGTTCTACATCCTACGCTGGAATACTTACGACAGTAAGTATTCAGAGACTTTTCTTTTCTCACACTTTCGTGACTTACGCGATATACACTGCAAGATTTGAATCAACAAATAAACAGGCAATGTAACCTGTTCAGAATTTTCAATGCTATTTCCGGTGATGTTTCTGCTCGACCGATGTTACGATCCTTTATCCTTTCAAAACATCACGATCGGGAATGAATCTTCAATCCCTTCAGGTATCCGTCGGGAGGGAATGAAGAACTTTACGACTGCGGAGATAGATGATTCCATACAGAGTATCGATGGCACTCACACTACCCTCGCGGTGAAATATAATTTACTGTGGCATGAGAGCAATTGCCAAATCACCTACTCGATAATTGCTAAATCGCCTCGAACAATTTGGCCACAAGCTTACATGGCGATGACACAATCTGACCCAAAAAACCGAAGGCAGGTGCATCCATTGAACGACCTGTGATGGGAAAACTGATATCGAATTCGGCCCAAATAAACATAAGGAATTCGCCAAGTTCCACTGTACATGAGCCATTCCCACCTGAAATTCTTCCGCTCGGATTGCAGCAAGAAATTACGAGAGAAAGGTCCAAAAACTGTCCAAAACTTCGTAATGATCGACATCCCCGTCGCAACTGCTGCGGGGAACACGCTCGTGGATTCGAGAAAAGGACGTTACACACCTTCCGCCAGATGCTCCTGAGCTTCGAGAGACTTTCCACCGCGGCCGCCGGGCACAACCTCCTCCCCAGCCCTTGCGCGGGCGTCCAACTCCTTTCGCTGCTGCTCGGTGGCCATTGTGTATACTGCACAGTTCGAAATCAACCGCATTCAGAGCCGGACAGACGGCTAGGCATCCCCGACCCGAAATTCCCACCCCTGGGGTCCTACACAACGAACTGGACCTGTGCCCGATCCGGATAATGCCAAAGTAATAACCTCAAAAAGTACGACGGCTTCTCTAAAGCCGCGAGTGTCTCTTACCAGAGAGATTAAGATGACCGGCGTCTATGTGTCGGATTCGGTGCTGCTGTTGCTTGCTTTCTTGGTGATGGATGTTTTGGTGCAGGTTCGTAAGCTCCTTGGCCTTTATATATACTGCGCTCGGGCCTTCTGAAGGCATGAAGGCGACAGGTTTCGACATGGAATGGTCGATCAGCAAAACGTGCCGTGCCCTCAAATTGACAAGCGGGCGCTCCGGGCTCGCTGCCGCTCTGGGCTGTGTATATTTAACCAAGGACACGGTGCGGCATGGAGCTGCATGGCACCTTGCCGCACCGTGATTTGCATGGCAAATCTCGTGGCGGCTCAGTCGGCCGCCCTGTGGATGTCGGTTCGAGATGTGGTCTCTCTCGCTCAGCAGTCCGTCTGGTATTGTGCTCTGGACTGTTCAGTGACAGGGCTGTCCCTCCAAACGCTGTCTGTCCACGAGATGTAAACAAGAGTTCACTGGATGTTCGACGAATTAGAGTCAACCTTGTCTTCATTCCCATACGAGTCACTGGAAACAGCAAACCTCGGGATGTCTCCTCTCTTCTGTTTTGTTTTCCCGTTAGAGTTTTTTTTGGCAACTTTGGCCGAATTTTGAAATTCAGGTCGTGTTTTGAGAATTATTTACGCTTCAGGATTATATCATAATAACTTACCCACTAAACGTAAGGAGTATCACTTTCTCTAAATTTCAACTATTTTAGTCAATACATTAGCAACGGAAGATGCTATTTTTGTTGGTTGTGTGATTTGTATTCTAGTTGCCAAGGGACATGATATTTTATTATGATACTGTAGCTTATCAAAAGTTCTTTCTATACCTTTTGGTTAGAACCACATGCCCCCCTAAGAAGACAAACAATGGATAGAGAAAGCACGTCGAGGGCTCCGTGAAGGTTGAGTTTCTTCTTATCTTATTAAGACGAGTTCAAATCACGTGACTGAGCAGGGCCCAAGGACTTGTTAGAGCTAGTCCTGATTTGCCTGCCGACGGGCTCTTCGCGGACTTGGGCGGTTGCCAGTTCCCTTGCGATCGGTTGTGCCGTTCAAACGACAGGAAATAGACAGTCATGGAGTATATTCAGTACCTTGGGGGAGTGGGGAGTGGGGAGTGGGGAGGGGGCGGGCGGCGGGGGCAGTAATCTTGGGAGCGGATCCTGAATGTCCTCCGCTTCCACGATTACTGATTCGCAGAGCAGAGTGCTTCCTATCTTTTGCTTCCAACCGACTCTACCTACAGTCCACATACTAGATAGAGTCCAAGAATCTCCTGGTACTTTCTACCCAGCATGTCAGTACGTTCTTCGTGCAGGTGTGCTCTGGATTCAGATCTCGATCTTTATTGGTCAGCATGGTTTCAGAACAAACTGTGTAGGATGTATTAAAGTTTTTTCTAGAAAGTTTACGAATTCTTTATATTTTTCCCTGAAAATTTGTCCATAATATACATCTGCATTACATGAAATGTTGCCATTCAATTGTTTATAATAGTTATGCCTTTTCAGATACAATCCCACACAGTGAAACATGTATAAAAGTGATGTGGATAGCTGGACGTACACTCTGTTGGTTTTCAAGAAACATGATTTTATAAGACTGTATGAGGTTGTTCATAACTCGGGAGACACATCATTTGCAGTGACGAATTATCAGGATACTACTGTGGAGTGTGTGGGTTCAAAATAGGAGATTATGCTCTGCGAATGACTACGTATAAACCTTGATACTGCTACTAATGAAGATGAGGGGAGACTGTACATTCTTAGAAAAGGATGAAAGTTGAAATGAGAAGCTTCAAAATTATCTTATGTTTCTCAAGAAGGATTGATTGGTGGACTGGATCGATGAAGTATGTGAAAACCAACAAAGCTCTCTGTCGCATCTACAACCATGTAGAGTATTTCCTCTTGATCAATCTGGTTCTCTTACTACAACCACATCCATCGTTGTCCATTTTGACCGTTATAATTAGAAAGTTTTGCGAAGCAGTTACATGTTTTGCGTGATGAGTAATTTGGAAATGACGTGCGTCAAGTTTTCAGTCACTTATGGGAGAAATATACAGGGGCCGCATAGGCGGGAAATAAGGGCCAAACTGCTCAATATTACCGGCATAAATATCTTAGTTCAAAGGATTGGGTTGGAAAAGAGGATTTCTCAGTTTTATTTGTTTTAATCTCATCTACTTTTGCATTTTTCCATTCTTTAATTTGACACTTGGTGTTCCGGGCACAAATCTCGGAAATTTTGGCCTTATTTGCGAAGCTTCGAAAAGATTCCATGCAAGTGAAGCTCATATCAATGAAGTGACTTAAGCAAAATCGACCTTTGTCATAATCATATCGAGCATTCGAGACATATACTAATTTGTGGATTTAGTGAAATAAGGATCACTATGAACATGTAATACGAATGATAGCTTCCGCATGTCCAGTTTAAATGCATGGTTTGCACGTAAAGAAGAATAGCAAACAATGTTTTCAATCTAAACAGTTTTCATGATTGGCAATTAGGGATGCTCACGGCTCGGCTAACGGCTAGCCGATCTGTGACCCGATTAGCCGACGGCTAATCGGGTAAATTGTGCCATCGCTATCCGAGACCGAAAACTAACCGAAGACTCGGACGGATTTTACGATTTCAGCCGATTATTTCGTCCGATTCGGCCGAAATTATCCAGTAGAATTTATTTTGGTGTAATATTTCGGTCTATTGCATTTTCGGCTGATAGCCTATTAGCCGACGGCTAGCCGGCTAAATTTGAGGCCCTAGCCGGCTAGCCGAAAGTTAGCCGGCTAGACAGTTAGACAGAGTAAAGTAAAGTAAAGTTAGACAGAGTTTTATTGAAAGAACTCTGAAGAGACAAGTGAAGATGCAAGTGTAATCAGATCAAGAGTGAATGAATCTATTCGTTTGTTGCTCGCAAAAATATTACTGTCCGGATTAATGCATCCGGTACCCATTCCGGAATGCAAGACGAAAGATCTCAATATGGATGACAAATGATGCATTGCCATTCAAAAGCGTGATTGGGACATACCCAGCTTGATATGTGAGACAGCTTGATATGTGAGAAAAGCATATGTATAAATAATCAAATTGTCATAGATAAGTTCTTTAGCAGAAAAACAAACAAGCACCACATCCACTGTGGCAGTTATTACTTTCATACTTCAAACCAAAATACATTCAGGTCCAAAAATTCCTACTCATGTCCTGATCACATATCACATTGGATGACCGAGGATGCGGTGGAGATAATAATCCAACCCAATCTAAGAAAGAGCTTGGCTAAAAAGTGGGGAGCGATGCTTGGAGACTTTCGACCTCAGAAGACTGCTCTGTAACATCCTGAGGGGTACACTTCGTCTATTGGTGTACAAGTAGAGACTACCCGCAAGTGATCCATCGGTTCAAAATTTTCCAGACTGGAGATCAAGATCACACAGGCAGTTCTACTGGATATCATACGGATGCATGGCTAAACAAAAGACATCATAGGTTTTTTTGTATTTTTGCTACTTACTCTCATTCTATCTGTTCTTAGAAGCAAACAAAGAACTGTCTTCACTCGAATTTCTATCCGTCAATGATTCTTCCTACCTTGCCCTGACAGCTTCAACGCCTTCACACTAGGCTTTCAAATTCTTCATTTCAAAGTGAGAAAAAGCTACGATGCACGGTGAACAAGAAAAGATTACAATCTACAGAATTGCAGAAAAAACCTCAACTAAGACCTTCGGACCATAATCGGACAATACAGCATCATGCAACTGAAACGTTTTCACTTCTCAGTGGTTCTCAAACATATCAACTACGGCTTAAAAAAATTTGCAGTTTTAAATAAATGAGTCACTCCTGATTCTGCCCTGGAAACATGTATCGAACTAAAACTTACACGCACCAGGACAATCAGAACGCGACGAAAATAATGTGTGAAATGAAGCTGAATATCTAGTGTAGTAGTAAGTATTATCCTTGAGATCGATGGCAGCACACAGGTACCGTCCGGAAGATTTCTCCTTTCCTCGATTTTTCGAATATCTAACCCTAATGATCGAGTGACATCACTAGCTTATCCTATCTTGTATCTATTCCTGTGTGTCAAACTAAGCAAGGAGCGTTTGCTATCAGTGCATGATTTTGAAGCATTAACCTCAAAACCATTACAATGCTGCAGATGTGGATGAAAGTTGTGAGACTTGACTACCGTAACTGGCATCACATTTGTGCCCTGTGCTTATGTACAGTGATAGTGTTAACTGCTATTTTACATGAAAAGCACCTTCACATGCTTGAACTACAAATTGTCTATTTGACTACTTGACTGACCTGCGGTTGTCATTGCGTCCACTTTTGGTGCTTCACAACTTGTCAACGAAGGTCATCTTACAGGGTAAAAGCACCATGCACCTTTCACCGTTGCCGAGACTCTAAGAGATGTACAACTGCTTCTAGAATAAATGTGTGGTGGTGAGTGCAATGAGCCTAATCAGGATCATAATTTATCCACCTGCTTATTCTGCACATAATGAAATTATATGACAATAAGGCATCTGCAATTAATGGCGGCTGCATGTAGAGCTATCAAAAGTTGATGCCCGAGGTGAGATTCAACCATTAGCTCAACCAGGAGCAAATCATTGCTGCTGCAGAGAAGACGCCTGCTGCTTCATGTGCTGCAACATTGGTGAAGTCTGAGACTTGACACTGGGTATTGGCGAGTGCCACGATGATGAATTTCCACCCGCCATCATCTGCATAGGTTTCTTCCCTACCATTGGTCGCGTTTCTCCCAAGGATTTTCCATCGAGTGGCCTTTCCTTTTCAACTTTCTTCGGATTGCGTCCCATATTCGGAGAATGGCGTCCCATGTTTACTTGTTGCTGCTTTCGCTTCTGAGCTTTGTCCGCCGAACTTTGCTGCGAAACTGGCTGCCTTTGATGCAGCAATCCTGGGTAACCGTCAGGAGATTTCTTCGACAGGCCCTTCGTCGGGCTTGATAGAGAACCCTGCTTTGGAGACGCCAGCATGTCTACAGACGACTGTTGGGGATGTTGCCTTATCAAACCCATCACCTGGTCAGCTTTTTGCTTATGTTGATCCATAGTGTCTGAACAGGCCTTGCGAGCTTGCTTCAACGCAGAGTCCATAGCTGCAGGAGCGGATGGCGGACGCATGCCTACCTGTTTAGCAGATAGGGTCTGTAATAAAGGTTACTATCTCCGTTAGGATAATAGACAGGAATGTAAGCCAACTGTTAAGAGGATCCAAACTAGAGCAAAATTCATACCTTCCCACAAATTACAGCATTTTAAACTTAATCCAGCCAAAGTGAGATACCTGTCGGGATGGAGACTGAGTTGGCTGCGGTCTTCTTTTATGATTTGAGAAGTGTGACGGTTGTTGCCCATACTGGTGTTCTGATGGTCGTGGCTTTTGTGAGTGTTGATGTGGTTGTGGGAGTTGCTGTTGCTGCGAGTGATGCTGATCTTGTTGTCGTTGCTTCGTTGCTTGCTGTTGCTGCAAATGCTGCTGATCTGTTTGTCGTTGTTTTTGTAATTGCTGCTGCTGCGTCTGCTGCTGATCTACTTGTCTCTGTTTCTGTGCTTGCTGCTGTGCTTGTGGTGGTTGTGAGGGCTGCTGTTCAGGTTGTCGCAGCTTCTGCAAATGCTGCTGTGGTTGCTGTGAGTGAGGGTGGTTTTGATCTGGTTGTCGAGATGCGTGCTGATGTTCCACCTGTCGCTGCTTCTGAGAATTCTGCAGTTGTTGATGTAATTGCTGGTCTTCAACTTGTCGTTGCTTCAGTGATTGCTCCTCTTGGAGCTTTTGCTGGGTCAGATGCTCCTCGTCTCGCTGCTGTTTTTGTTTCTGCAATTCGTCCTGCTCACGCTGTTGCTTTTGGCGTTGCAGTTCTTCCTGCTCTCGGTGTTGCTTCTGCAGCAGTTGCTCCTGCTCTTGTCGCTGTTGTTCAAGCAGCTGCTGCTTTTGAACTCCCAACTTCACTTGCTCCATCAAATCCTCCATACTGTATACATCACCAAATGGGTCCTCATTGAAAACTTGCAAAGCTTTATACCTTATCTAAAATGGCCTCTAGCCCAGCTGGTGCTGATTACTGGCCCTTCGTCTTGGCTTGTCCAACGAAGCATATCATAACTTTCTGGAACTGTAATGGATAGAATGATAACTGGACTCAAGACACGGCATTCCAGCGAATTTCCACTTACCTACTACCGGATATTTGTAAAAACATCTTCATGTACTCTGCTTGTGAACACTGTCTCCGGTAATTGTCAATCAAAGCTCTCAGTCCCGTGCTCAATTTCTTAAATCGGCTGTCCAGGATATCCACAAAAAGGTCCAAAGACGATTGCTTCAGTCCCTCAAAACCAGCATCAGCAACAAGTTTGGATACCGTCTGTCGCAACATGTGCTCGGCTTCATGTTCTCTGACTTTATTGGAGAATCTATCCGACTTACTTGAACCTGGCGAAACGCCCGTATCCTTCTTCACGGTGACATTTTGCCTCCCTTGTAGAGATCGACTCTCGGATGTCAGTGGTGTCTCCTCTTTTACAACGCCAAGTTTAGCGTTCGGTGAACGGAACTGAAGTTCGTCCAGCCGGTCCAGTAGACCCTTTGGTTCATCATCCCACTTCTCCAACCTTCTCCTTTTAGCTGGGACCGGATTATCAGGAACACAATTGGCCAGAAACTTTAAGTCAGGCACAAACATATGGTTTCCCCTGACTTTTTCAGCCTCATTAGACAGCCTCTCTGTTTGGCCGTGAGATAAGCCGCCTCGACTATCTGCATCTGGTTTGAGCACACACATTGTTTTCTGGCGCTTCGCATTGAACTCTATATAAGCAACCATGCCCTCCGGAGTGCGAGAAAACCCTTCTCGTTCCGGGAAGGGAAGCTTCTGCTGAGCAGTTCGCTGGGCCAACCGTTGCATTCTCTCGGTCAAATAACTTTTCGCGCACTGGTCATACCACAGTGGACCGACGTCACCAGTTTCAGCTGCAACGCCTTGGGACGTTGTTGAAGTCCTTGCCGTCGAAGATGTAAATCTGGAGTTTTCTTCTGAATTTCGTGCTAGATTTCCTGCGGTCTTGTGACTGCTCATCTACAACACACAAATATTTGTTGAATAACCCAAAAGAATAATGGACGACTGTCTTCAAGCTATTGCGATGACAATAGTAACTTTAGTTGAACACTGCACCAGTGTATACTGTTGTATTTCCACACAAAATCTCTTCTGTTAACTCCAGTGAAGAATCTGCAACTCACATACTTCGAAGTTGAATGGTAGTGACATACCTTTTCCTGATGATCGCGAACGGGAACTCCAGTTCCATCGGTTTGAAAAGTCGCTTTGTTTGAGATCCTGAAAGTAGCAAAATAAAATGTGCTCATTGGTATGTGCTGTGATGTCATGAGCTGAACACTAGAGATCGCACGCCCTCGTTGAGCGTAAGTGCTAGTATGAGTAGGACGGAAATAGAGAGAGGACTACCCTAAAATGAAAACCCTCTAACAGTGAGAATTTTCAGATACTTTGTAGTCTCCGAGTATCATTCAAGACAAACTGAATCAACTCATTCACCTCACGTTTACGACAGCCCCAATCACTGTCCCAAACACTAGACTACAATAGGAGCAGGAGCTCGCAAAACACGTCCTACAAAAGAATTATTCCATCAAGTATTGAGCAGGACTTTCGTGCTCCCGGCCAGTGTACAAGTTGCGGAAAGATTCCTTCTCTTACATTTGTCATGACTAAGAGTGAGGCGAAACAGAGAAAAACTGTTGAAGTAGAGAAAAGATCCTTCTTCAGATGCAATGAATAAACACAAATATAAAAGTGAGTTCAATTGTTTTTATGATACTGGCTTCATTCGGATAGATCCAGCGAAGTTACTTACTTCGGGGATCGTAGCTTCTTGTTGATGGTCCCCATGATTTCCATCGGCCTTTTCGTAGCTACAAACAGTAACAGCCAGATGCAACAGTCAAAGCCTAATTATAAAGCCCGCGCAAACGTCAGTACATGGTGAACACGTAACGTCTTGCAAATGTCTATAACATGATGATAACGCAAAACGCCATGAGCATAAGGCTGGAGATGTATTCACCATCGCTAGAATCCCATGCTTCCACCTTCTTCACCTTGTTAAGAGAAGGTTTTGACATCTCCTGTACAATTCAAGAAAGCATGACCCCCGTTTAGAAATTCCAAATTCGCCATCCGCTATAGTTAGTGTACTGCATGTTATGGTTCACCGATGCCAACTTCTGACTTCCACAAATGTACTGCCTCGGTCAGGAGTACCAGCATATTCTCCAGTTTCTATGGATGTATGGAAGAAAGATCATTTCAAAACAAGAGGTAGCTTACATCAATTAAAATTTCATTCAAACTGACATCACCTGTTTCGTATTCATCATGTTGTTAAAGCCATGACCAGCTTGTGAAGCATGCCTTTGTTGTGAAATAGAACCTCCTCCTTTGACATCGTGACAGTCTTCAAGATTTCTGAGAGTCATTGTCAAAGAAACAGATCTTTACGTAAGAAGACCTAAGATAGTTGTACGAAGATAAAAGTGTAGAGTGCTGCAATAGAAAGACACCGGTATTCCCTCAAACATGAGGCTGTAAAACAAGCGAATGAAACGCTCCTGCCAGAACAACCCTGAGTGCACAGGAGAAGGCAAACTACTAGAACGTCTGTCAAATATCTACCTTCTGGAGTTATTGTGCGCGTGTTGACCCTGCACATTTTGACCCTGCAGGAAGGAAAAGAACAGCCTGATGTCAGAGACTTGTATAACTCGAAAGTCAGCTAATGAACTTGTCGATCATCAGAATTGTCAACCATAGTCGTTGTATGGTTGATGGGTTTTGAATGCTACGTTGGTTTACCTTAGCCTGATAAGGTTGGTGTCGAAGTGGGCCTGTAGGTGTCCTTGTCGCATTTGCTTGATATCTTTTGAAATCCTCGGCATCTTGATCGAGAGGAAAGTACACTGCATTTCCATTCAGCTGCAAATCTATTCAAAAAAACAAATGAGTTTCAGTGCTTCCGGTGCTTCCGACGCTGGCGCATTCAATTGAGGTATGGTAAGACTGGAAGCGCATTTGACACGACCTCACATAACTGACGTATCTCTATACCTTGACAAAACCATCAAGGCAAACCAGCAAGAGCATACTATCCAGCAATCCCATCTCCTTGCAGAGCGAATTGAATTGACAAGGTCTGATAGAGACTCAGCCCAGGATTAAGCTGAGAACTTTCAGTCCTAGGAACCGACACTTAATTATGAGCACGATATGTCCAGGTCAGGAACTTGTAGTCCATTTGTTTCAGGATAATACAGAAATATTCATACGAGAAGATTCAAAAGTAAGGTTGTCTGAGGACAAGGACACTAGAAAAATTTTAACGTGACATGGCCCATAAAATATATCGAGTTTAATGTAAGCGTTCACGCTTACTGAAAAGACAACTCGTCAAAAGCATGCATGAATCTGATGGAATATATGATATTCAACCTTCTGAAAAAGGTCAACAAAGTATTTAAAACCTGAGAAACTTTTCTAAGACAGTGACAGGGCCAAAAACAGGCATAAACATCATACAGAAAGATCTAACTTTTCATTGTGACTGGAAATCTATGCTTTAAAATGCGTAAATTCTTTGTTTCACTATATGAACCGAAAAGTAAAACTCAAAAACTGATCAAGACACTGAATAACGGAAATCGATCATGTTCAGCTCTAAAAATATTGAATACTTTTCATAGGAGTTCTTAGGTTTACTAGATACTCTTGACGGGAAAGTAGATTGGTACAGAGATTGCAGGCCTGAAATCCTATCCTGACTGTAGCTTGATGTCAACCCTCACCGATGACAACACACGAACGAAGTAATCAAGATATCTCCCCTAAACTAATAGTTCTTTCAGAGTACCTATGAACTTTAACCTGAAACAAACCATTAACCAGGTAAGGCCACAAAATTTGTTGATCCCAAAAGTGTACTAAGGTGACTGGACAGAAAATCAACTCGGATTAAATTTGACATACGTATTAGAATACGCAAGCAAGCATTTCCCCTTGCTGCTTCGCATCCAGTGAACAAAATCCAGAAACAGACCGTTCGTACACTGTAACATGCACGCGTGTAACGTAACGATTACTTGTGAATTAATTCATCAAAGATAGTTGTAGTGAGAAGGTTGAGAACAGGAAATAAATACGTTAACCTCTTTCACACGACTTGTGGATCGCAGGAGTGAATTACCTACAGGACTTAAAGTCTCACTTACCTCTCGATGACTGAAGTGTTCAAAATCACGAATTGTAGGTCTTAGCAGGTAACGACAGGTCGACTATTGTAGAGCAGAATCCAACGTGGAGGTTGCCCTAGGCCAAGCACCTAATTCCATAAGTCAGCTAGCTCTTCTTCTTACGTCTCCTGAACTACAAAGATTCGTTTCATGGCTCATGTTCTGTTCCGCAAAGACATCCAGCTCCATGAAAGCACATTTCCTACTGCAGTCTTGTCAAATCAGAAGAATAAATGAAAGACCCGTCTTACAGTTACCAACATCACCTTAGCTACTGTCGTTTGATTGGTAAGCAATGATTTCCTTTTTCCCACTACTCCCACTCGTGAACATTCTATAGGTGACTGGAAAAAAATGAAGATCTCTTCCGGATGTCAAAAAGTGGGTGAAAACACGTTCTCCTTCATCAGATCAAAATCGCAGATGTTATTTGTCGATCAAAAAGTTCCTGTGTTATGCCCTTCACTAACAAAGAGATGAATGTTTCTACAACCATGGGACCTCAAACAAGAAGATCGAGATCATTTGCTTGAGTTCGTGGGATCAAAAAGGTAAGAATATTCTTCGGATATTACTTTGAAGTATTACTCGTGCTACTGCTACTAGCTAAAGGAAGAATATACACGCTCAACATCCAAACATCTGCATTTATACATTCTTTGAAAGTGGGGGAGGAGAGAGGGGACTATGACAATTCCTAAGCTCCTTTTGTGTCTCTTAATAAGGATTGCTGGACTGGCTCACGTACATCTGTTGCCGCAAAATTCTTTTCAATAGAGCAGTCGTTTATAGAACTAATTGGGCCGAAATTCCATATTTACTCAGAGAGATCAACCCATTGGTACCTGGCATTATTGTTGATCTTCATACTTAGGTTGATTCTAAAGCAGAAAGCTGGTCTACAGGTACCATGCTTTAAAGCATTAAGATATAGCCAACAACATAAACAAGAAGAACTCACTCACAAGAAGGGTTCAAAGAGCTGGGGGCAATTTTCTCGCCGAAGTCTTCGTAAACACAACCAGCCGCCTTGTCGAACAGAAGAGCCCGCACGCGCATTTGAAGATTCAAGAGCGAACTGGAAGTCGAGTTCATAAAGGAATGCCATGCTGCCTGTGATGTCAGGTGCGGAAGTAGCTTGGAGTAAGAGGTAGCACCCAACCATTCTCGTAAGGAGCCCGCATTCTCCAATCTAACGGTCAGCTCATATCCATCTCCATCCTTCCCAAAAATCCTCATCGCTCCTGCCTTGCTCCCTTCGCCACAGAGCTCAACTGCTCCCCTGGTCTTCGCTGTTTCGTTGCATGGGCTTCTTAGGAGTTCTTAAGCCCAGGTTCCGTTTCTATGACTTTCTTGTCCAGAATCCGTTCCTCAGTGCGCCTACTTGACTGATCTTTAAAGCTACAAGGCTCCTCTTTCTGGCCGTTTCCCTCTCTCTCTCTCCCATCACACGGAGGAACCTGGGGCGGTCCAAGATTAGCTCCCGTCAGGCGTATCCATCATGTCTGAAGGTGGCGGGCTTTCTCGTTTGCTTACTCTTCCTCCTCCTCCTCCTCCCGCCTGCCTCCTGCCTCCTCGAAACCTCTCACATGTGTATCCGCCTCCCCTTGCGCCTGTCGCCCAGCTCAAAAGCTTTCGACAAAGCTCGAAACTCAAGGAACCTCGTGCTGCTGCTCCTGATGATGAGGATGCTGATGATGCTGATGAAGCCTTTGCTTCATCCTATCGTCTCGTCTGCACACCCTCCCTGCCTCTCCGTCCCTCTCTCTCTCCCTCCCTCCCTCGCCCCACTCTCCTAGGACGTCCTCTCGCTTCTGTCTCTCCTGCTGCTCTTTCTCGTTCTTTTTTTGACAATTGGGCTTCGTTCCGTGTCTGCCTACCTTTCCCCTACTACGGGTGTTGTGTTGGCCTACTACCGCAACTTTCCTTTCCTCTCATTCCGTCTGTTCACTGCCGGTGCTGGTGCTGATGCTGATGGTCGCCCTGAACAGAATAAGGCGTCTTCCCGCGGTGATGGTTATGGGACCACACACAACCCTTGCCCGTCCCCGCTCTCACTTGCTGCCGTAGCAGTACCCACCAATCCGATCACAACAGGGACACTTTTGGCTCCTGCAAGAAAGAGCCAAACGCCACTCCCCCCCTCCCTCCCTCCCACGCTGCACCTTCATTCGTCATCCTGCTTCGTAACTCGCTTCAGCGAGAGAGAGATTCGGGGCTCTCTCCCAGACCAGACCACGCCAGACCGCTGCACTTTTCTCCCCGCCTCCTCGCCAACTTCCCTCTAGCGCCAGCAGGCCCTGCCTCTCGCCTTGTGACGACTTCTGGATATGGGTCTTCCGTGGCCCACCATTTTTTATTCTGCCCCTGCTCCTTCTGCTGCTGCCTCCTCCTGCCTCCTCCTCGCTGCTAGTCAGTCTACCCCACCCACATACACGTGAGTCCACTCTCGCTCTCGCTCTCTCTCTCTCGCCCCCCCTCGATGCAGACTCACTCTGTCCTCCGCAATTGCTCTCGCTCTCGCTCTCGCTCTCCCGGTCGAGAATTAGAAGCCCTCCTCCGCCAGACCACCACCACGGCGCCATCACTGTCGAGGGCTCTCGGCTTTAATAGTTCGGTGGGCGTTTGGTGCGCACCGCGCCCTCCCCTCGACCGCTTGCCAAATTAGGCAAGCTCCGCCTCCCGCGTCCAAGGAGCGGCGGGGCGCACGACTCCCAGCTCCTCCAGTCGCGTCCGGCGACAGCGTCCTCCCGCGGCCTTGTCTCTGCTCCGCCGACGGTTGACACTTCTTTGTGCCTTCATCATCCTCCTGCTCCTCCTGCTCCTGCTCCCGTGCTGCGGGAGAGTTCGCAGCGCCGGACCTCGAATCCGCTGGCGCCTCCGCCAAACTTAGACGGCAGCCACTCAAAGCTTGCGTCCAGCGTCCAGCGTCCAGCGTCCCGCGGCCAGAGCTTCTAGAATTGCATGCAAGCGTTATGTGTGTAGCCGATATGTATGTATGTATGTATGTATGTCGGCACGCATGCCTATATGCTGTCTGCCTGTCTGTCTGTATGGTGAGGGTGCTGGTGAAACGTCCATGTAACCACCCACTCTACAAGTGCCCCGTCTACGCGACGGACTGTCATTAAAAGTCGCCAGTTCTTTTGTGCTACTCCTCCTGCTCCTTGACTGATCATTCCAAAATCGACCTTTCAAAATCATGGTCGTCGTGTTTCGATCTTTCTGCATACCGCATGTGGTCACGGGACGTATCAACTGTGAAGCCCACAGATCTTCAGACGCAGCATGTGAACTCCAAATATCAGGATCCGGCGACCGGAAGTACAATCTACAAAACTTGAAGCAGTTGAGTTCAAGCGAGTTTTCTCTCCTTTTCCTTCAAGTTACCACTTCAAGGAAAAGGATGATTAAGGCTATTAATGATTGTTTGGATGATTAAGGCGAGAAGTGAATGTCCAAAGAAACTCTACAGAAGTGTGATTAGCAGAGGAGTCTCATCTGCCCTGGCGAAAAATTCTTAATCGCAATGAGGGGCCCTCGACCGTGCCTTTTGCATGTGGTGCAGCATGCTATTCTTCTTTCGCGCCGAGGCAATTGTCTGGTGGCGTCAGCCCTACTTCTGGGTCTGCTATTCATGCGATGTATTTCAAACTTTTCAAAAAAAAATTATATTTTAGTGTCTTACATAAGAAAATCTCATGTTGGAATATATAAAATAATATTCTATTATATGTAAAAATTTTAATTTATTTCTTCAATCCTAATTTCTCTTGTGATATTATTTCTGCTTGACCTCTATTTTTTAGTTGTTACTTTTTGGGGCTTCCAGTAATTTTTTTCTGAATTCTTGGCCCGATCTTCAAGTTGTATTCCTATTTTCTAATGTTTACTTGTTGAATCTGCTTCTTACGAACATCTTACCCTCAACATATTTTTCGGAGCGATGGTATTAATCTTATTTTAGGCACGGAGAGCACGGCGTCATATCCGATTTTATCAATAACTCTGGTTCACATTGTTTTTACCATCGGCATTATATGATTGCAAGATGAATATTTTACATATAATACATTCATTTCTTGGAGCATGTCATGATTGTTTGGTGAAGCCGTTACCACTTAAGATTCTTTTGAAGTTGGTTTACTTTGGGAGCTATTTTTCTCTTGCAAATAAGTCTGACATTATTTAGATCAAAATGACCTTACGGGCGTTCTTACTGATGTGTTTAAGTTCAAAAAACCCGGATTGTATCTAGTGGTGGGAAAGATGCTGCTTACGGTTTCGTGCATCTCCATTTTATCCCCAACTTTTGAATGTCATCTGATGAGCTCCTAATGACGGATCATCTCTAGTGAAGGCTAATCTATCTTAATTCAAGTAGGTCTTCCACCAACCTATACCTACAGGGAGGCCATTGATGACACAATGATCCATAGACTTTGTTCTTCACATGAAAATGCGCATCATGATCCATGTGATTCTCCAAAATATAGTGACGTCGATATTTCGTGGTATCCGTTTATTTTTCTATTTTTTGACCTACACTACTAAATGTTTGAAGAGAGATGAAGGTGTACGATTCATCCGGTGGAAAATTTTTTTGCTACCGCGTATACAATAAGAAAGCAAGAAGGACACATCTGGATCTACGTTGATCTATGTTGTCGATTTATTATTGTCGGCCGATATTCACTCAACCCTGCAATGTATTGAAGCCTTGATTATCCTCAGGAAGGCCTCCTCGAAAACACTACATTCCTTGTTTAGGAGTACGATGCACCAACATGGCGGTGGCTACAATTGTTCCATCACGAAGGATTTCTGTAGGGCTTTACCTTGGAGTGCACAAAGAGCATCCGAAGCTTCATATGTCTTCCGTCCACACTTCATTCTCACATTTATTTCTTATTACTTATCGCCTCCTGTTACTTTTCTTCGGATTCTGGTAGAATTTGATATCTCATAGGACATGACGAAAAGTACCTTCTATGGGACAATCTCTCCGGTTGAGATGGCCACTCTCAAATCTGCGACGTGTATATTTCACGCTAGGTTGGGCAAACATCTTTATCAATTGCAGCTACGGAGCATAACTTTCCACGGTAGGAGAGAGAAAGGGTAATAATGACAAGAGTTTTGGATCCAACATTGAGTGTGACTTTTGATGATATCTTCTCACTCATTGCACTGCACTTTGCAACGCAGATACTGTATGAGCACAAAATTCACAATTCAAACCGACATCAAGAATGATGAATTTCTGAATGCATAATTCCAAAAACAATTGAAATTGAATCTACCACTGGAAAATTCAACACGAATGAACTGCGTGACTAAATCCAAATTTCATGAACTTCACAATGTGATTTTATTATTGTCCCATTGAGATAACATTCTCCGTTCATTTGGGTTACAACCCTAATTCCACATTTACCTAAAATCGAAGCGTGGATAGTGCCTATGAGTTTTAAAAACCCGAGCCTGGCTCGAACTTTAGCAACGTTGAGACAGTACGTGTTGGAAATACTGATAAGTTTGCAAAGAAAGCTAGTGTTGTTTTATCTCTCTATGTTCCAATAGCATAAGCTTTAGTTTGTACTGCAATTAAGTAACATCAAATAACAATACAAAAACTAGCGATGAGAATCATTTGAGCTTCATCTGACTATGAAATTAAAATCATATCATCGGAAACGATGAAACTAAAATGATCTTTATTCTCATCGGCAGTTCTTGTCTTGTTTCACAATGTGACTTAATTACAAACTACAGCTCTTGCCATTGGAAGATAGAGAGATCGAATAAGACTAGCTTCCTTTGCTGACAGGTATGAGAAACAAGAACACCCAACAGAAAAAAACGGAAGACCGATGTGGATTAATTTTATTAAACATTGTTTGACGGTTATGAAGCATGCTAGAGTGAAGCAGCGGTATGCTGATCGCTCACACAAAACAGTACACTCTCTTATCGTAACCACAGTACCCAAGCGACCGAGGATGCCTGGAATACAATAAGTGATGGATACCCTTCGCAGAAACATTTCGAAGCATTAATGGAACAGCTAACCTTCATAAACAAGATTATTCCAGCCCTGATTTTCGTCTCAACGCCAACTACTGTCGGTTGTTCCGAAAGCGAAAGTACGAAGGCTTATGTTCGCTCTTCGGACAAGGCCCAGCACACGTGACGAGGTTGCCCATGTGTCAATCAAGACACGCGAATACCAACAATCGACGTAAACAACCATTTCCTTTTGTATCCGCCTCTGTATTGTAGGGATAAACCTCACGACTGTGATATAATGATTACCTGTTGGATGTGATGGAGCACCACTCCGGCCGAGGTGCCCGGATTATAACAGCATCAGCAGCTCTCTCACAGCCCCCACCCTGCCTGTATCATTTCAGCCCGACTCCCGAACCTCAATACCGCCAGTGCGACTTGCGGTACATGGCGAGCACAAGCCTTGTTTTATACTAATAAAATCTGCGGCTGAAGTAGATTCGAAGCTGGCGATCGGCCGCCCATAAGAACATCGCACGTCACACTCTTGAGGTGGGCTCGTACGATCGACCAGCAGCATGCTCATGGATAAAGCGCCCAGACTCCCCTAGCACAGCTCGGAGGCTTGAGTTACTGCCCTTCTGCCTCATCCGGCTCACATGCCATTTCGGACAATTGCAGCAGAAGAATCCCTCTTCGGACAGAAAAATATCGTGCGTCACAGGATTTCTATATCCGATCATCGGGCCCTAAGTCAAAGCCCTTATGCATAAAGCAGGCGAAAATAAATTGGAATACTCTACGAGCGAAGATTGCATGCAGCTTTCCCAGCGCCATGGATGACTCCGGATTGTGCACTCCTTGAGCATCCTGCAGAATATGCTCGAGATCGATCGGTCCCAGAGTGAAACAGGGCCTGGGTCGGCCCGTCGCCGGTCCGGGCTGTAGGCAGTAGATCCTCTGGCGTGCGAATGGCGGGGCCCCGATGTTCATAAGGCTGGCTGACGGTGAGATTTACCGGAACGTTGACCTGCTACAGGCTGGCCTGCTGTGACCGAGAATTCTCCGCACTGACGGACAGTTTTACAACTTGTTCTTGTATTCATCACTGGCAGCCACGGAGACTGCTCCCTATAGTGATGAATACAAGAACATTACGGTATCACGCCCTCATATTATTCTACCCCGGAGGCTGCCTCCGGTGAAGGCCGGACCGGAGCTTATTTTATCCAGTTTTTCGATCGGGACAACACATTTGTCAATCTCCCCAACACGGATCTTTGTTTGTTTAAGGCCGTAAAAACACCGTTTCAGCAGCTATTCTCAACATGGCTTCCTTTTCCATCTATCTCTCCATGCGTAAAATTTCAGGGCAAGTCAAAGCATAGCACGTCAGAGAAGACCGATTCAAGAATTTCGGCCTGTTAAAGTGCAGGGGTAGGTTTGGTCAGCAAAGACTATTGTGATTTCTAAAAACGAGTTAATGGTAACATCGTTCACGTTGTTATTATTATTGTTATTATTGGATTTCAATATTTGTTGGTGGCGTAATATACAAGCCCAGTTTCTTTTTGTGTACTTTGTGAACGGATCCGGATACAGGACTTAGGGCAACGCCTACGGAGCAACGAACTAGCACTCTACAGACAACTCTTTTTGAAAGACAACTCACTAGCGACAAAAGTACTGCAGGGAATCTTCAGGAGACCGTGAGTTCTTCATCCCATCTCTACGGCCAGCAAGAAGCTTTTCTACACCTTCTACGGATAAATTCCTTCTTGCATCAAATCAAGGCTAGTGATCGCGAGAGCATCAGAGTGGGTTTTTTAAGTTCTGGAAAAGTTTTATGACCTTCTAAAAGAAAAATTTATAACTAAAGCATCATCCGGTTTAAATAACGAATGAGAAAAACCTGTACAGATCACCGAATATAGCAAAAAAACCGTTACATCCATGTGGCTGATTCGATTTAAATATTTGGATAAAACCATCGAAAGTTAGTTGTTCACTCGCTATATATAGTTTCATACCTATTCATGGGGAAAATGTGGTGAAGAGAGAATGTAATGTCATCTTTTGGTGGTACTCATCGTTTCCATTCCACGTGATTCTTGCTGAGAAGGGCTTCAACTGATGACCTAAAACACAATGATATCATGATGACCTAAACATATAATTGTTGCAAATATACTTATAAACTACCTTTTCTTGAGTCTCTTGTAGTTTCATGGTCAATCTGTGTTGAAGAGAGGTTCTCGTGTTAAATTTTCGTTAATTCTCGCGCCGTATTAAACAACAACTGCTTTTCAGAAATTTCAATGACTTCGAGATCTAATTTGTACTTTTCATTAAAAAAATGTTGCAACATCCTGAACCAAAAGTGTCACCTTACGTTTGTACTAAGACTTTGACCCAAGGTCAAAAAAAATAGATTGATTGATGTATCAGTTAGACTTAACCATAAACTAAGCACCATTTACAACTGTTTTACCATTAGACTAGAAAGATATTTAAAAAATTTAAACCAAATACGATAAAAATAAGATCAACTAAAATTTGAAAAAAAATTGAATTGAAAAATATTTAATCTCCATCAAAATTCAATTTGTCATTTTCTTTTTAAAAAATCTTGTGCCAAGTGTAATGAAATGAAAAATAGATCAAAATAGGCATATCAAGTAAAAGTACATATGACAATCAAAGTTTCATAACTCACAAGCTAACATGATTTTAAGCAAAAAAAATTGAGCATATTTAAAAATAAAAAATAAGTTTAACTTATGTTAAAGTTTTAAAATAACACCAAATAAAATGAATCAGAAATACAAAGCTTTATTTTATTGTAAGATTATGAAATTTCCAACGTATAAAAGAATTATAATTCGTAAAAAAATACAACTAAATGTTTCTTTAGATATATATATATATCTCTAGATAATTCAAATTCATAAAAAATTATTACTAAAAAAAAGTAAAACTAAAACATTTGTAACAAAAATCTGTAAGTGCATAAAGATTTCATGTTATGTTTTGAGCATGAAATACATAAAAAGTGTTATGCTTATACTTTAAACATGTTCAAAAACTAAAATTTTCAAATCACATGTAATCTAAAAATTTTAACATCAAAAATTAATTAAGGTGAATAATATCCAGAATTGAAACAATAAATATTTAAAATAATTCTTTTCTGTAAATAAAAAAATCTGAAAATTCAATAAATTGTATACTGTATATGAAAAATTCACTTGTTTTTTAAATTCATGTTAATTAAGATGCAAATAAAAATATTAAAAATAATTAAAAGTTAAAAAATTAAATAGAGATTGAGTTTTTGATTTCAAAAGATATTTTGTAATTTTATTTTGCCAGATAAATATAAAATTTTAATTTATTTTTCAATGAAAAATTTGTTAAATTCAGATGTTTGAAGTTAAATATATATATATAGATATATATCTAACAAAAATTATCTTAATAATAATAAATTATTAATTATTTTAACATATCAACAATCTTTGTGCTTATTAGAAAGAATGAAATGTTTTAATCTAGTGCTACTTATGAAAAAGAAATAATGAAGCATGAGGTTATGCATTGATTATTATGGAATAATTAGCATAAAAAAAAAAGTATTCAATACTTCATATGGATGACTTGTGTGATCTAATTCAAGTACCAAAGTATTTTGAATGGCAGATGAACATTTTCACAAGACTAGATCTTGTATTATGTATGATTATTTTGATGATCTAGTGATGCCAAGTGATCATGAATGCATTTGCATTTAGAGAAATATGGGATATTTTTTGTTGGTATTTTGAATCTTATTCCTTAAATAAATAAGTTTTTTGTGATGGATCAAATTATCTTACCAGATGATTAAAGGCTAGAATTCTCAAACCTATTAATTAAAAGAAGATGTATAGAGTTGTCTATAAGAATATTCTAATCATATTTGTTTTAACTTTTAGAATTGGTAGATTAAAAAAGGTTTGTGGAAAGTTTTATTCAAGCCATATTGGAATATTATTCCACCAAGATTCGGAGTAACCATTTTCTACAAATTCAATGCTAATGGATTGGCGGAAAATATCAACCACACCATGGATATGATGTGGATGCAAACATGGACGAAAGCAAGAAAAATTGAGACAAAAAGCCACACATTATCTTATGGAATATTGAAGATATGAAAGAAATCTAGCAGATTTTCAACTGTTTGATGATTTATGATTTTGAGTCAAAACTTTTCATAGGATTTGACTCAATCACTTTCATAACGATTGTAACATTGAGATTTAGAAAAAAGTTCACTCGAAGATGGAAACATAAACTTTGAAGGTGAAAGATTTCAACAATGATTCTTTTGCTACTCATATAGCTCTCACTAACAAGTACAAGAAGATAAGATCTTATCTCTATTATCTATCCCATTCCAAATGAACGGCTGACGTGACGGATAATCCTAACAAGTACATGGATCGCTGACATGATGCTGTCAACTGTCACACCTAGTCTCTATCTACCAAAAGCGCAGATAGTTAACGTGGCAGTGCAAGCTAAAGTATACATATCAACATTTAGATTAACATCTACTTTATAACTAACTAATTAAAGATGGTTACAAACCTCCCTCCTTTTAAACGCAACGTCCTCGTTGCACATCCATACAAATTCTTGAACTATCAACGGTGCATTAGTTAGATTTCTAACTGATTTTCAAGTTGATTCGTATGATAAATTTCATTTTCTTTGAACCAAATACTCAACTTTCGGATATTTATGGCCTCGAATCCGTTTCTTGAGGACATTTTCTACCTCAAAATACTCTTGATCATCTATCAAGGTTGCTGAAGGAGTTAACACTGGTTGATTTGTGATTCGTTTTGATCGTCGTACATGTTTTTGCAATCGTGACAGATGAAATATAGGATATATTTTCATATGTGACGGAAGCTCCAACTTGTATGACATTTCACTTACACGTTTCAATATCACAAAAGTATCAATGAATCTACGATTAAACTTTGATGTCTCTACAAGAGACAAATTTGTTGAAATTAGTCAAACCTGATCTCCAACCTGAAAAACCAACTCTCGACGATGAGCATCAGCATGTTGTTTTTGTTGATTTAGCATTCAACAACTTCTTCTTTGCTTGGTGTAACCCTCGATGAATATGTTTCACAAACTCGTTGACCGCTGCTACTTTAATTGAAAACTCTTCTCCTTTCAAAAACTTCATCAAACTTGATGGAGTAATGGGAAGAGCACCGTACATGATGTAAAATGAACACAACTTTGTAGATGCATTTACATAATTGTTAAGTGCAAATTTCACAAGAGTTAAAAGAGTATACCACTCTTCTTGCTCCTCTAATGTGAATGACCGTAGCATATAATCTATAATTCTATTGATTATCTATGTTTGATCATTAGTTTGACAAGCTGTTGAAATTGCTTCTTTTGTTTTGAAAAAACTAAATAATTTTTTCCAAAAAAAGTAGTGAAATGATTACCTCTATCAATGATTAAGACTTTGCTTAATCCATCATTTACAAAAACAGCATATTAATACACTTGAGCAAGTTATGAAGCAATCACTATTTTTGTGGTTGGCCTGATGTGAATCATCTTGCTGAATTTGTCAACAAAAACCATCACTAAATCATTTCCTTACTAAGTTTTTGGAAACTTACATACAAGATCCATGATGACATGATCTCATCGATGTTCGCACATAGTGAAGGCTTTAAAAAACCAGCTGGTTTTTTATTACTTGACTTGTTTTTGTTGACGAACAACACAATTTCGAACGAAGTCTCCATGTCCTCCTGTAGTTTGGACCAAAGGTAAACTCGTTTGATGCTCTCCAAGGTCTTCTCCACTGCCACATGACCTGCAATGGCTGTATCATGATATTCTAATAAAATCATAGTGCATAATTGTAACACTAGGGTTTGGCAAAAAGTTCACTTAAAGATGGAAATTTAAATGAG